ACTATTAGCATCTGTGTCCAAATAATTGGCCTGCCCATCAGTTGCCATGAATGAACCGTCCATATTCTTACCTAAAGACAATCCTTCTCTAGATCCCATCCTTCCTCACTTTCATAAGGTATTGCCCCAGAAATTCTCTTTGCTCTCATCCGTGCCCCCCCTTCTGAGTTATTTTTATCAGAATACAACTATGGTTTTATTCTCTCAATTTGACAAAACCTTCCCTTGACTCCCATTGATCACTGAGGTCTGTTCTGATCACTGATGTACCCAGCCCTTCTACCAGCTACTGCCCCATTTCTTTGATCCCTTTGCAGTAAAACTCTTTTATATATATATATATATTTCTAGGAGAGAGAGAGAGAGAGACAGCGTGAGCAGGGGAGGGTCAGAGAGAGAGGGAGTCACAGACTCTGAAACAGGCTCCAGGCTCCGAGCTGGCAGTCAGCACAGAGTCCGACACGGGGCTCGAACCCACGAACTGCGAGATCATGACCTAAGCGAAAGTCGGACGCTTAACCGACTAAGCCACCCAGGCGCCCCGCAGTAAAACTCTTAAAAGTAGATGACTTTACTCAATGTCATTGATTTCTCCGCTCCCATTCTCTCTTAATCTTATAATAATCAGACTTTGTTCTGACCATTCCACTGACACTGCCCTTCTTGAAGTTATCAATGACCTTTATAGCACATAATCCAACAATCAATCACCCACTGGTGGTTCTCAGTACCTACTGGCGGTGTCTGCACCAGCTGGTCACTCACTCCTCCCTGATATATACTCTTCACTTGTTTTCCAGGACACCTCACTTTCCTGGTTTCCTCTAACCTTACCAGTTGTTCCTTCCCAGACTCCTTCACTGATTCCTCCTCTTCTCAGGGATCAGACTTTGATTCTCGTCTCTATTTACATTCACTCCCTGTTTAGCTTATCCAATCTCATGGCCATCTATCAACCAATAGCTCCCAAATTTATATTTCTAGCACAGAACTCTTTCCTGAATTCCAGACTCTTCTATCTGTCTACTCAAAATCTCCACTTGGATACATACCAGATAGATGTGGGCAAAAACAAACTATGATTCCACCACCAACTGCCCTCTAAATAAACTACTCTATCTTTATCTTTTCCCATCTAAGTTGATAATGCCATCCTTACAGTGGCTCAGGACAAACACTTAAAATCATTCTGATTGCACTGTTTTGTTTTTTTGTCTCACATCCTACATTCAATGCATCAGGAAATCCTATTGGTTTCACCTTCTAGATATATTTATAATCTGACTACCTCTCAATACCTCCACTACCATCCTGGTCAATGTCACCATCACCGTCACCGTCTTACTTAATCGATCTTCTTGCTTCCGCATTTACTTTCCTATAGTCTTTTCTCAACAGAACAACCAGAATGATCCTTTTAATAGTGAGATCATGTCATTCCTCTGTTTAAACTCCCTGGTGACTCCTTATTTCACTCAGCATGTATTCTCAACAGGAACAATATCATCTCCAAGGGGATAAAAGTAGTTTTTTGGGGGAGCAGGGGGTGAAAACAAATCTTGGATATTATAATGGTTTGTGGCCCTCCAAAGGGCCACAGTACATAGACAAAAATATAAGCTATTTCTATGGTATTACAATTTTATGAGAGAGTAGCAAATAGGAAAACAAAATCTAAAAAGTCTCCTAAGGGGCATAATAATGGGCAGGAAAAAGACTGACAACTCAGAGGAAAAAACAAATTCCTATATAGCTATATATGATCTGGCCTCCATTACCTCCCCAAACTTGTCTCCCACTACTCCAACTACTCTCCCCTTGATTGTTTAGTTTCAGCCATATTAGCTTTTTTACTAATTCTCAAATATATCAGGTAAGTGCATTCCTATGCACACACACTGAGACTTTGCATCCGTTACCTCTTCCATGGATACTCTTTCCTGTTTCCTCCAGGCTGACTCCCTCACCTCCTTCCACTCTTTGCCTGAGTCTTCTCAATATCTCCTCAGTGAGACCTACCAGGACCACTCTATTTAACAGTACAGCATATCCCCTCTTACTTCCACACTCTGGACCCCATTTACCCTGATGATTTTTTTTCCCATAGCACTTATCATCTTCTAACACCACTTAATTTTCCTCTTATATGTATTGCTTATTTTCTGTTCCCATCTACTAGAGTATCAGCTCCATGACAATAGAGAGCTTTGTTCTACCCACAGCCTCTAGAACAATGTCTGACATAAAGTAGTAGCTCTCAGTAATGAAGGAATCCTTTCTAGCCCTAGGGGAAAAACTTAAGTCCTAGAAGGAATTATAAATTCAGTAGAGGGTGAATCTATAACTGGAAACAAAGTATGAAACCAGGGCTGAGGATCTGACTCATGACCACATTATGAATTCTGTCTGGGACCCTCCTCCTTAAGGCTATAAAAATAACAAGAAATTGAGGAATGTTAAAGCTGTATCAGGAGCCCAGCCCAGGCTGAGAGGTACTTTTTGCCTGGGCTTCACATTCACGAAAGCCTCAAATGGAGGTTTTGAACATTCCTTCTTAAGGAGGTTGGTTATATATTCAGCCAGAGACATGCCCACAAGAAAGGAAGGAGACTTTCAGATTACAACTTAACTGGTTATTACAGCATTCTGCCTCTCGATTAACTTTGTAAATCTGGCAATTACTACATGACTGTCAAAATCATAAAGCTTTTTAATATTTCTGTGTTAAAAGCATTCATTTGTCAAGTGCAACCATTTCTATCATAGCACAATTTTGGAACCCTGCTTTTACTTCTCTTTGGTTTTTCACATACTACTAAATTTGAGAAATGAAGTGGCTTGTGCCTATGTATTATTAGATGGGCTTTGTCGTCTCTTGGCCACAGAAAGCCAAGGAAGTGGACTGTCAGACTTTATATGGGCTCCCAGCACTCATAGGCTGCTGTGCTCCAGACATTCAAATGTTTCCTCCCCTTCTGGCTCACCAGTGCTTCCTCAAGATATGTACTTACAAAGCACATTCCTTCCCCTTTGCTCAGTTATCCCATAAGACTCCTGGGTAGAAGCAAGGGAAAGCCAGTGGGAAAGGATTACCCACAACTGCAGGCCCAGGTATGAATGCTGCCACAGAGACCATCACAGCAAAGGGCACCCACCCTCTTTGGCTTTTGTGGCTGTGATGGCTCACTTTATGTGTCAACTTGGCTAGGCTATGGTACCCACTGGTTTGGTCAAACTTTGGTCTAAATGTTGCTGTTGAAGGAAATTACAGGATGTCACCCCAAAATATGTCTCTTTGACATAAGAATTATTGTGAGCTAAAGGCACTTAAACAGCAGATACAGGAAGGGCACTCTGACCCTCCCCCTTTTCTTCTTGGAAACAGATAGTAAGACCCTCAGATGTCCTCGTGTATCAGAATATTATTTATCAAGGACAGGAAATTGTGACCAGAGAATTCTATAAAACAGACATTATTAAAATAATTCCTATCTTATCTTCCTTTACCACCCCCCACAGTTTAGTTTTCCACAACTGTCTTCCTTTGTTCAACCTAGTATAAAAGGTTTTGCCACTTCCTTAAGTCTCCGTTTCCTTATGAAGGCTTCCTAATCATGTAAAACTTAACATTAAAAAATATATATAATCTTCTCCTGTCTCATGTCAATTTAATCATCAGACCCAGCCAAAGACCCTAAGAGGGCAGAGGTAAAAATCTGCCTCCCTTACACTGTGAAAACATTTTTAAGATATGATGAATATTTAATTCTGAATACAGCAGATTAACTGTCATTGGCCCTTACCCAATCAGTTGAAGACCTTATGAGAAAAGATGCTTTCCCAGAAAAGAAGGAATTCTTCAGAAGACTGTAATAACATAAGAACCCTGAGTTCTAGCCTGTGTTCTGCAGGTTTCAGACTCAAGGTGTAACATCAACTCTTCCTGCTGGTCTACCCTACAGATTTCCTACTTGCCAGTGTGCTCTGCTTGAGATTCCTTAAAATAAATCTCAATGTCTCAATCTCTCTCTCTCTCTCTCTCTCTCTCTCAAGAAATAAGGGGAAGGGACTTGAAGAAATGATTTCATTTCTTAAAATTTTAACATTTAAAATATGTTATGTATTATATATAACCATCAACAGATTTCCCAATCCCAACTCTACTCTTCCTGGATCTTAACCCTGACACATGTCTTCAACCAGCACTTTCTGAAGACTGCAGGGTAACAGCCGTACTTTGGGAATAACATGTTAAAAACATCAAAGACCTGACCCCCATGCTGCTCAGATTTTAAGTGAGGTAAGCAGGCAAAAAGTAGCAATGAAGTATAATAAGTTTTGGACTAGAAATATGAGCCACTTAGATCCCAGTGGGACAAAGTATGTGTGTTGAGAGGGGTCAAGTTGGGGGTAAATAAAGGAATGTGTGGTTTCCAGGCAAAGAGAGGAAAGTCTAAGATTATTTGGAAACAGCTGGGTGTAAACATTTTACATCTCAGGATTTGTTCCCTCCTTTCCCAAAGAAGAAAATACCATGGAAGGACACAGGTCAGAATTAAGAGACCATGAGTCCAAAAAAAAAAAAGTCTCTAAAACCAGAAGTAAGTCCTAGAAGTCACTAGGACAATATACCAAAAATTTATTCAATTTGTAGGTTAGCAATGTGCTAGGTGCTGAGGTACACACTGGAATTTCTTTTTTTAAAAAAATTTTTTTACATTTATTTATTATTGAGAGAGAGAGAGAGAGAGAGCATGAATGGGGTAGGGACAGAAAGAGAAGGAGACACAGAATCTAATGCAGGCTCCAGGCTTTGAGCAAGATGTCAGCACAGAGCCCGATGTGGGCCCGAACCTGCAAACTGCGAGATCATGACCTGAGCCCAAGTCAGTCACTCAACTGACTGAGCCACCCAGGCGCCCCAACACTGGAATTTCAAAGGTACACCCAGTGCTTATCTTCAAAGAACTCAGTCTAAGACAAGCTAGATGAACACTCACCAGAATATTCTTCTTCTAGGTATGTAGACAGCCACATGGCTCACTCCCTTGGGGTTTGGCTCAGTTCTCTCCTCATGAGAGGCCAGTCCTGCCTACCTGATGTAAAACAGCACACCCATCACCACACTGACCTTCTGTATCTTCTCACTCAACTTTGTTTTTTAACTTTTTATTCAAATATACATACATGAAAAGTTCACATATCACAAGTATACAGCTCACCAAATTTTCACAAACTGAACACACACAGGACACTAGCATCCAGACCAAGAAATACTATCACCAACTACTAGAAGCATCCCTCTTGTCCAATCTCAACCCTTCCCCCATGGATAACCACCATCTTGATTTCTACAACATAGATTGTTTTGCCTGTTTTTGTACTTTACATATATGAAGTCACACTGAATTTACTCTTTTGTGATTGGTTTCTTTCACTATATATCAAGTTTGTGTGATTCATTCCTGTTATTATGTGTGGTTTAGTTCATTTCTTCTCATTGATCAATAGTGTTCCATTATGTGAATGTGACACAATCTAGTTGTCTTTGGGCAGACATATGTACACATTTTCTGTTGGGTATATACCTTGGGGTGAAATGGTGGGGTCATAAGACCTACTTTATTTATTTTTTAAGTTTATATCTTTATTTTGAGAGAGAGGGAGATAGCACAAGTGGGGAGGGGCAAAGAGAAAGGGAGAGAGAGCATCTTAAGCAGGCTCCGCGCTATCAGCATGGAGCCCCACATGGGGCTCGTTCTCATGAATTGTGATCATGTCCTGAGCCAAAACGAAAAGCTGGACACTTAATTGACTCAGCCACTTCAGGTCAGGTGACCTGACCTACTTTATTTTTTAAAGACTTTTAAAACTATTAAATCCTCATGTATTAAAGAGTGTGTATGGGGGTGTCTGGGTGGCTCAGCTGGTTGAGCAGCCAACTTTGGCTCAGGTCATGATCTTAATGGTTTGTAGGTTTGGACCCTGCATCAGGCTCTGTGCTGACAGCTCAGAGCCTGGAGCCTGCTTTGGATTCTGTGTCTTTCCTCTCTCTCTACCTGTCCCCCACTCATGCTCTGTCTCTCTCTCAAAAATAAATAAACGTAAAAAAAAGTATTTTAAAGTGTGTATATTTGTACACACACACACACACACACACACACACACACACACAGAGGACAGAGAAACCGAGAGACTTAAAACCTAAGAAATAGAATATTACTGCCATAGTTCACTCTGGTTGCTGTAGACCTGAATATACAAAACTGGGTGGTTTATAAGCAGCAAACATTTATTTGTAGCAGTTCTAGAGACTGGGAATACAAGATCAAGGTGCTAGCAGATACTATGGTCTGGTGGAGGCCTGCTTCCTGGTTCATAGGTTCTGGGCTGTGTCCTCACATAGCAAAAAGGGGGAGGGGTCTCTGGGGTATATCTTTTAAGGGCATTAATCCCATTCAAGAAGGTACCACTCTCATGACATAAGCACTTCCCAAAGTCCCTACCTCCACATATCATCAAAATGGGATCAGGGTCAATATATTAATTTGGGGGTGGGAGCACACAAGCATTCAGGCTATAGCAATTCTCAATACTTTGAAACCTTGTGTGTCTCTTTCTAGCCCATTCCCCCTCTATCCCAGATGTAACCATTATTCCAGTTTTAAAAATCATTCCTTTGAGGAGAGAGGCAAACCATGAGAGACTCTTGAATGCTGAGAAACAAACTGAGGACTGACGGATGTGGGGGGGAGGGGGAAGATGGGCATGGAGGAGGGCACTTGTGGGGATGAGCACTGGGTGTTATATGGAAACCAATTTGACAATAAACTATTTGTAAAAAAAATTTTTTTAAATCATTCCTTTGATGTTTATCATTTTAAGATAGGTAGCTAGATAACAGATAAATCCCTAAATAATACATTATTTTGTTTTTCATGCTTTTTAACTGAATGGAAATGGAACTCTGCTTTATTTTTCCTCATAGCACTTCTTGATAACATCTTACTTATTCATTATCCTGCTCAACCTTTCCCTCACAGCTCCTTGAAAACAATAAAAAATGTTTTTTTAATTTAATTGTTTAATGTTTATTTTTGAGAGAAAGACAGAGTATGAGCACAGGAGGGGCAGAGAGAGAGGGAGACACAGAATCTGAAGCAGGATCCAGACTCCGAGCTGTCAGTACAGAGCCCAGTGTGGGGCTCAAACCCATGAACTGTGAGATCGTGACCTGAGCCAAAGTCAGACACTTAACTGAGCCACCCAGGCACCCCAAAATACATCTTGATTTTATTCACTCACTGCTGTATCTCTAATTCCAAGAAGAGTATCTGGTACACAGAAGGTGCTCGATAAACATTGGTTGAATGAAAGAACGAGAAACTTTGCTTTCTACGTGGGTAGTAAGATTTGTGAAAATGAAACAATTCTGATGATGGCTGATGAACATTGTCCTGCAAAGGGCTTCTCTGCATCAAGAAAAAGGAAAATAGGGAATTTCTGAGGTAAAGTTAAATGTAGCTTTACCAAATAACAATAAACATAGCTGGCCAATGGCATAATAGAAAAAGCATCAGACTCAGTGTCAGCAAACTTAGACTGGAATCCCGCTCTGCCACTTGCCCACTAGTGTGTGTGTGTGAGCAGGGCTCAACTTCTCTTAAATTTGCACTTCCTCATCTGCAACATGGAAATACTATTACAGGGTGGCTAATCAGAGGGAGCAGTAAGTGTGTGGATGAAAATGTCCTGAACAGTAAGTTAAAGAAAATGATGCTAGGAAGTATCATCAATATTTACGACCAAGGGAAGCCTTTGCAAATTAAACGTCTCCACTTTGTCTCTCTACACCCTCCTCCCAATTTAAATTTTGTTATACATATCTTATTTTATTTTATTTATTTTGCGAGAGTAGGAGAGAGGAACAGAGGAAGAGAGAATCTTAAGCAGGTTCCACATTCAGCATGGAGCCTGACATGGGGCTTGATTCCACCGCCCTGCGATCATGACCTGAGCTGAAATAGAGGGTTGGAAATTCAACTGAGCCACTAAGGCTCCCCTAAACATACCTCATTTTAAATAAAAGGCATCCATCTTATTAATCTTCTCCTCAAGCAACAGTACTTAGTTTTATTTTATTGAGATGCAATTCACATATGCTAATATTCACCTATATATACAAATATATATTTGTACATATAGTGTACAAATCAGGGGCACCTGATTCAGTTCAGATCATGATCTCACAGTTCATGAGTTCGAGCTCCTCATCAGGCTCTGTGCTGACAGCGTGGAGCCTGCATGGGATTCTCTGTCCCTCCCCAACTTGCTCACACACTTGCTCTCTCTCTCCCTCTTTTTTTAAACGTTTTATTTATTTCTGAAAGAGAGAGAGAGAGAGCAGGGGAGGGTCAGAGAGAGAGGGAGACACAGAATTTGAAACAGGCTCCAGGCTCTGAGCTGGCTGTCAGCACGGAGGCAGACGTGGGGCTTGAACCCACGAACCGTGAGATCTTGACCTGAGCCGAAGTCGGACGTTTAACCGACTGAGCCACCCAGGCGCCCCTCTCTCTCTCAAAATAAATAAATATTTTTTTAAAAAGTGTACAATTCAGTGGTTTTATTACATTCACTGACTGCGGAACCATCATCTAGCATTCCAGAACACTTTTATCACCAAGTAGGAGTCACCTACCCCCGCCCCCCATTTCTCCCTCCCCTCTGCCCCTGGCAACCACTAATCTGCTTCCTGATTTGCCTAGTCTGGACATTTCGCATAAACAGCATCAGAGTCCATGTGGTGTGTATCTGATTGCTTTCACTCACGGTTCATGTTTCCAAGGTTTATCCACACTGTAGGATTTATCAAGACTTCATCCCTTTTTAAGGCTGGATGAGAGTCCATTGCATGCGTATGCCACATTTTATTTATCTGTTGTTCAGTTTATGGACATTTGCGTGGTTTTCACCCTTAGGTTATTATGAATAGTTGTGTACGAATTTTTGCGTGGACATGTTTTCAAGTCTCCTACGTAACCATCTAGAAACTGGAACTGCTCTTAAGCTAACTCTGACTCTCCCAGGAACCGTTGATGGGTTTTCCATAAGCAGCGGCATCATTTCACAGCCTCATCAGCAATGCACCGAGGGTGCCAATTCCCTCATAATATCACCAAAAAGCACTTATTTCTAGAATTATCCTTCATTTTACTTCACCAGCACTTTCTCAAATTGGTATCGCTAGCCTAGATACTATTTAAATTAAAAACAAAAACTTTCGATGTGACACTCATGTATTAAAAAGTGACTTCAAAGTACTGTTTCTAATGTTTTCTGGCAGACACTAGCCCGGAAGTGTCTGCTTTGCCTGAGTGGAAGAGGCGGGGTCTCGACTCACCGCCACAGAACGAGGAGTCTCGACTCCTCACAGAACCCCAGGAGGAAAAGCCGTTTGGGGAATAAATCCCTCTCTTAAACAGAGCACTGCCTGCAGTAGGAATAAAAATAGCATCTGAATAGCTCTTCACCTGCATTTCACTTTATTCTCTCACTCGCAGTGACACTCTCACGCAGCCCTCACTCAAAAGAAAACGGCGAGCCCTCTGCGCGCAGGCGCACACCCTCAACCCGCCCTCCTCCCTCCAGTCCCTCCCCTCTACCGACTTGCCCCCTCTCCTCGAGCTCTGCGTCTCCGGGAAGCGGCGCTCCTCACTGGCAGTTTAAGGCTGATGATGTAGTCATGTTCCAATCCGCGCTTTGGGGGCGGGGCTAGAGTCCGGAGGCCGCAAGGCTGGAGGGGACCGCCTGGCGGAGGCACGTGACCTGGGTCTGGAGCCGGAAGCTACCTATCTGAAAGGGAGCGCCCCCAGCACCTAAGGCTGCGATGGTGAGTGAGGACGCATGCGCGGGAGGAGTACGTGCCAGGGGTTCCGCATCCCTGTTCCCCAATCTCTTTGGTTGCCCCCTTTTGGGCCTGTACTCAACCCTTACCTCCTGTCCACCCCGGCACGTAGAGAGATTGGAGATGGGAGGGGAGGCGAGATCGGAGGGCTGAGGAGGGATCTGTGGGAGGGTGTATGGACGCTGGCGAGTAGTCTGTGGGGGAGGGGCGGGCCACCAGGGGAATTGGAGATGGGGACGTGGGGGAGGGGCCACTGAGGCTGCGGAGGCCAAAGGAGCCCAGGGTCAGAGGGTGAGGAAGATGGGAAACTCAGGAAGATCAGTGTCGAAGACTCTAGGTGGGAGAGAGTCTGGGAGGGCCCTGGCTGGGGAGAGAAAGGTCTGGCGAGCCCTGTCACGAGAGACGTGGGTTTGTAAATGAAAGGCATCGTAGGGCCATCCTTGGCATGCTTCTCACTGATTGCAACTTTACCCACTAGACTTCTGCACTGACCCAGGGGCTGGAGCGAATCCCGGACCAGCTCGGCTACCTGGTTCTGAGTGAAGGCGCAGTGCTGGCGGTGCGTTCTGGGCAAGGGAGGGGTCCGCCAAGGTGACAGGGCCTGGTGATCCCTTTTAACATCGCCCAGTTTAGCCTAATTTGACTCTCACTCTTAGCTATCATGCCTGGCATGTATGTAGTAAGCTTTTGGCAACTAATCAAGTAAAATCTCTGGAATCAGAGTCTGGGAACTTCTGAGGTAGAAGTTTACTATCTTTCCCAAAGTCAGACAACTATTTCTAGGTTTGTTGATAATTGATATTACCCACGTTATTCTTGAATATGTTTTTATTTGGTATTTATTCAAGAGTCTTTGTATTTTTTAAAAAATTGTTTTAATGTTTTATTTATTTCTGAGAGAGAGAGACAGTGTGAGCAGGGGGGTGGTGGTCAGAGAGAGAGGGAGACACAGAATCTGAAACAGGCTCCAGGCTCTGAGCTGGCTGTCAGCACAGAGCCAGACGTGTGGCTCGAACCTACGAACCATGAGATCATGACCTGAGTCGAAGTTGGACGAGGGTGGACCGACTGAGCCACCCAGGCACCCCGAGTCTTTGTATTTTGTACCATAGTATGATATAGTATTAGCTCTCTAGAAGTTTTTAATCTAGCTGGAGAGACAAGGCTTAAGGTTAAAAACTGTTATAACTTACATTATGACAAGGAAACTTTCTTGGAGGAGGTGAGAATTTAACTGGTCTTAAAGGATGGATGGTTGTGAACAGGCAGAAAAGGAGAGTACTCAGGGTAGGTTTGTGTTGAAGAGATTTGGAAAGGTTTGGAAGAAGAGAATATAGTAAGGAAAGATGGGACTGTGGAGGACTTTCAAGGCTGGATCAACACATTTCTGTTAATCTTGAGGGTGATGGGAGCTTTGAACAGAAACATGAGCTGATGAAATAGTTGAGCAGAATTGTTCTATTAGGTGTGAAGATAGACCAGAAAGGGTGGGATTCAGAAGTGGTGGAGGCTGCTTCGAAAATCTAGGTCTGAGATGGGTCTGGTGGCAGTGAGGAACAAGGAAGGAAGAAATTTTAAAGGAAGAATCAATATATCTTGACAATGACTAGAGACGGGTAATAGAGATACTTTTCTGTCTAGTGAGACTTTGAACCCAAGCCTAGAATGATGGCACCGTGACAGACAGGAAATTAAGAAAGGAAGTTGATTGGGAAGGGGTTGAACGAAGGGGAATTTTGATGACTTGACTTTAGACATGGAGTTTGAAAAAGAATAGGAGCAGTTAGTATATACTGCTAGGAGCTGTTCTAAGCATCTCACCAATGATATGTCAACATAATCCTCACCACAAGCCCATAAATAGGAACTTGTCCCAATTTACAGATGAGGACACTGAGCTACTGAATGTCCAAGGGAGCAAAGGGGACTGAACTTAACCTCACTGGGAGGCCCATGTTGAGGAGGTTAGGAGAGGAAGTTGAGACAGCAGAAAAGAGGAAGCCTGGGCCACTGTCACCTCATTACCCAAGGGCTAGGTAGTAGGGCAGGCCTCAAGGACAAAGAGGATGTTCATGTTTCAGATTCTACAGACAGGGCAACCATTGGAAAGACTTGAGAAGACAGTCTTGAACCAGTCAGTAGTAGGCAGGCACAGATGTTTGAGAATGGGATTTTATCAATAAGTGGGGACACAGGGAGAAATCAAGTTTCAGGGATTAGGAAAAAATGGTCAGTAAAGAAATGAGAGTCGCTGCTCACTGGGGGAAGGCCCGTGTTATACAGATGAGAAACAGGATGGCATCAAGAGGGGCAGCAATATGAGAGGAAAGTTTCAGGTTTGTTTTTTTCCAAATATGGGGATGACCTTTGGAGTACTGGAAAGTTGAGAGGGAAAGTTACAAATGCTAGAGCCAAAGTGACTGTTACCGGAATTCTTTCCCAGTTCTATTCCCTAATTTCTGCCCTCCTTCCTCCTGCATCTGCATGCAGTCATCTGGGGATCTAGAGAATGATGAGCAGGCAGCCAGTGCTATCTCTGAGCTGGTCAGCACAGCTTGTGGCTTCCGGTTGCACCACAGCACGAACATACCCTTCAAGCGCCTATCGGGTGAGCCTCAGCCCCTGCCCCTGATGATGGTGACTGCGGGGGTGGGGTGGATGTCTCCCAGAGGTTTTTCTTGTCAGGGGAAAAAAAAAAACTGTGTCCTGCCAACCTCTCATCATCTCTTCCTGAGATCCCTGGTTCTGGCCACTTTTTTTCCTTCCATTTGGGATTCACCCCTGCAAACAGGAGAAACCAAGGGAAGGAAGGGGATTTAATGGGGCCCTCCTATCTTCAAATCTCTGAGCCTTGAACAATCACATGCCTTTGGCTTTTGATCCCATCGGTTTGTGTGACTCTGTAGAAGCCGTTGTACCCCACTAACTCTCTGCTCCCTTCCCTCTCCTGGGCGGGGGAAGGTGTGTCTCCTCTCCAGTGGTCTTTGGAGAACACACGCTGCTGGTGACCGTGTCAGGACAGAGGGTATTTGTGGTGAAGAGGCAGAACCGAGGCCGGGAGCCTGTTGACGTCTGAGCCTGCCGGAGGGCAAAGGGCAAAGGTGGATCAGGTCCATGAGCCTCTGTGATGAGGAAGACGCAAACCTACTCCACCTCTTTCTTGGCTTGCTGCTAGAACTAAGGCTTTCTGCTCACCCGCTTCCCCACCGTTACCTAGAAGGGCAGAGGCTTGGGGACTTTGCACTGTGTTAAGGAGAGTGAGGGCAAGGGGATCTCCCTCTTCCCTCCCTCCCTCCTAATAAACATGAGTCTGATATGCCCAGGGATGTGTGTACGATGAGGGGTGAGGGGGGTTACACCCTGAGTCTGTCTTCCATCTTCTAGACAGTCGTGTGTGTCGGTGCAGAGGGGTGGGGCAAGGCCGCTGGGCATATAAAACTGGCAATCTGAGAATAATACAGGAAGGGAGCTATCTGGTGTGCCTGCTGAAGGGAACCATTCTGAGCCCCTGGGATCTCTGCTCCTGCCACCAACACACAAACGCAAGTCATTCTTCTCCCTCCTGAACAGGCATTTAATAGTCTTATTTCAGTTGGAAGCAGTAGTTGGAGAATAAGTTACAGGAACAGAGATTTAAAAAAAAAAGAAAGAAAGAAAAAACCCCACACAACTTAAAGTGCTTCAGGCCACAAACGTAAACATGAGGTGTAGGAGGAGGCCACCTGGCTATACCCCCTCACCCCTGAGACAGGAGGGCCACTGTCAGAATCCCTTTACCATCACCACCCTCTAATCTCAGCCCTGCGGGTGGGTGGGAGGGAGGGTGTCAGAGTCAGGAGAGACAACTTAATAGGAACAAGGAATACACTTTGTAAACTTAGAACCAGGGTACTGGGCAGGAGAGGGGCAAGGGAGCTCTCTGAGCCCTTGCCCCTGGCCTTGGGGTGGGGCCAGCCCCCCCCAGGGAGCCGGGGAAATACTGTAGGCTTAGTGCTGCAGTCATACCCGCCCATTTCACAGCTTCTTCCCTGTCCCTCATCAGCAGACACAGACAGGCAGCCCTCTTGGGCCTCCTCATCCATGGTAGGAGGCATCCCAGGGGAGGCACAGTCCAGAGCAAGGGCCCCATCCGGGGGGCTTTCGGTTTCTGGGAGTGTAAGAGGGAGGAGAGCCGGCAGGTGCTATTTGACAGGCTCCACCACCAGGACCTTGCACTCCCGCTTGGCAATCTTGTCCAGAGAAAGCACGGCCTTGTCCGGGGGCAGGTAGAGAGGGCGGCCCACAGGAGAGGCCACAGGAGGTGTGATGGCCCTGCGCTCCATCACGCTGCCTGACCTGGAGGAAGGCAGAGGCTGTGGGCTCTAGTTGGGCCCCAGGACCCTTTCCTATTCCCCTTCCAACTTTGGCCTCTCCAGAGTCTGGTGCCCCCCTCCCCCGCCCCACGTTTCCATACCTCATGAGGTGGCTACGGGAGGGCTGTTGGTGAGAAAAGGACTGAGAGCGGCCTAGGCTAGCCTGATGTCTCTCCACCAGGTCCCGGACAGCAGGGCTGCTGGGGCTGCTCTTTCGAGACAGAGGCCGGGCCTCGGGCGGTGGATGGGACACGCTGGCAGTGAACTGCAGCTTCAGTTTCATGTGCTGGCTCAGCTGGGGTGAGGAGACAGAGGTCAGGCATTCCAGTTCAGCCCCTGGGCCCTGACCCTCCTTTCAAATCAAGTTCCCCCACTTGCCCAGCCAATGTTGGATTGAAGTTCCATCTTCCCTTCTGCCCAGCCGTTCAGTGTCACCCATGGGGTTTCCTCCACAGAGGCTGGTGGCCTGGACTCCTCCCACCCTGATATTCCCATAACCCATTACACACCTCAGCCCCTCCCCAGCCCACCTCAAAAAGCCCTGTCCTCAGAGCCTGGAAGGCCACACTGAAGGTGAGCGCACTGCCCTTCCGGGAAAAGCCTAGATTGTTGAGAGGTGTGTGGCAGACAATGGAGTCCAGGGCTGCCTGCATGGCCCGGCGCTCCTCCTCACACAGCTGCTTTCCTGGGAGAATGAGGGGAGGCAGAAACAGCCACCAGTAAACACACCTGTACAGCACTCCTCAGTTTGCAAAAGGCTTTCATGAGCAGGCTTGCGTGTTCTCTTTTGCTTAACTTTATAAATAGTAATAGCTAATCCTTACTGTGTTCTGAAGTCTATTCTGACCACTTCACTTATGTTAAACTGTTAGATCACTCTTAACAACCCTAAGAGATATTAATTCCACTGCTTTAGAAAAGAGGAATCTAAGTGAGGCTCAAAGATTAAGTATCCTACCTAAGGTCACAAAGCTAGTGAATGGGAGAGATGGAAATCAAACATACCAAAGAACCCTGATCCGGATTTAGTGTCCTTAAAATCACTGCCCCACCGCTTCTCTAATCTCTCCAACAGTGACACTGTGAAGACCACCCAAGTATAGAGCCAAAGGAGCCTGCCACAAACCCCCCACCTCCATGACTTCCTTTCCCCTCCTTTGGGACAAGGTCCCGGAGCCTGACAGCCCACCTACCAGCCTGTGCATGCTCTGGGGTCCACACAAGCCTCACAGCAAGGAAGTCTTGGAGATTGTTGAGCAGTGTGTAGGTGACAGTGAACCGCTCGTAAGTCCGAACAGGGGACTCACAAGAAGCAGTCATCACAAAGCACGGGCGGTCCAGGCGGATGCTGGGCAGGCTAGAATCATTGAGGGGGAAGAGGGGTGGGTGTTGCCAAACAAAGGTGAATAGGATGGTGCCCAGTGGGGAGTCCCACGAACTCACCGGTAGTGGGTATATATGCTCTGGGTGAAGGGCAGCTTTGGGGTGGACCACTGAACCACAGCAATCAGGGGAACTTCTAGGCCCTGTTGGAGCGACAAAAGGAAACATCGTGTGTATCTGAGGTTCCCCTCTCATCTTTTGTCACCCCCCACCCCCAGCCTTTCCTTCCCACTGCTTTTTCTTAACCTTTTCCTTGAGCATACCAGTCCCCTATACTCACCTCCTTGGCCCCTTGAGGGGGTTGCTCACCCCCTCTCAGCTGAAACAGGAAGTTGTGTTCCTCCAGGGCACTAAGTGGGCAGGGGAAGCAGCCAGAGGTACCAGGGAGCCGGCAGAAGGAGCCCATGGAGACTTCCCCAGATTGATGACTAGTTCAGAAGAAAGAGCGACACAGCTTGATCTTTTCATGCCAGAGCTCTTGTCCCTCCCCCCATCCCCACTTTGCATCCCTGCCCCTCCTCAGGATCGCACCAGACATTGTCCACCAGCAGCACAGAGCCGTCGGGCATGACAGGTAGATAACTAGCATTGAAGTTTGGGAGAATCCGGATGTCCCAGATGGAAATTTCCTCCTGGGAGGAGCTGTTCAGCACTGTCGGAGGTAACCAGGTCAGTTCAGCTCAGAGTACCCAGACACCTCAAACCCCAACTTTACCCCTCCCAAATGGACCGATCCCCAGCAGTGTGTCCAGAGTAGCTGTCACCCAGTCAATGCCCCAGCTGCTACGCAAGACCCGAGCCACAGATCTGCTCACCCTTGAGCACGGTCAAGTGTTTTCCTGCAACAGTGAACTGGCGGCATTTCAGAACTGGAGGGGGCAGCAGAGTCAGCAGGGTGCTCACTGCAGGAGAGGGCCAAGGCAAGAACTGATGAGCTGGGCACAGACCTCATCTCCAACACACAGTTCTAATTTTCCTCTGCTCCTCTCTCTGGCGCTTGCCAGTATCACCCCTCCACTCTATCCGCTAAATTCCATTTCATTCCTCTGCATTCTCCCCACCTTGGGCCTTGAAAGCGCTCTGCTCTCCCCGGAAGGTCTCCCCAGGAGATCGGGTCTGCAGCAAGCGCAAGTAGCCTTGATCTCTGACCTCTGGTGCCTCAACCTCCCGTTTCCACACAGTCACTACAATCTGAGCACAAGAACACGGGGCCACAGTCAAGAGGGGAGCCAGCCAGCTCTGCCTTAGAAAGGAAGTCTGGTTTAGGACAACAGTCCTACCCCTTACCAATCTTACCTTGGCCTTAGGTGTCCCTGGGGGCAGTCTATCCAGTGAAACGGTGAGTGGGAAGATGACCTCATCTGTGGACACAATTGGTTCCTCCACAGGCAGCTGGGGTTTGTGAAAGGGGTAAGAGGGCGGGAGAGTCAAAGGGGCAGCCTGCAGCGTTCCCTTTTAAAGATGTGCTGTACGCGGTTCTTCTTGGCTTCCTTCATCGGCCTCCTTCAGGCCCCCAGCGTCCATCCCCCTCCTGTCTCTGGAGCCCAGCAAACCGCCCCTGCGCCCTGTGCCGTATCACCCCAAGCTCCTCACCGTGGTCGCTCCCCCTGAGGTAGCAGGGCCCGGGCCGTGGGTGAGGAGGGGGCTGCAGCCTCGAAACAACGGCCCACCGCCAGGATCCCCGCCCCCTGGGGGTTCGGGATCTTGGTCTCCGGAGCCACCGCCCCCGGGCGCCCCGCCTCCGGCGCTGACCGAGGCCAGGGCGGCCAGGGCCGTTGCCAGCTCTGCCCAGGCCCCTCGGGAGCCCAAGCCCGCGCCGCCCCCCACGCCGGACCCCGCGCCTCCCCGGCAGCGCAGCACCAGCAGGAAGCGGACAGTTTCCCCCAGGTAGAGATGGTTGCGCCGGGGCAGCGCCCGGTACCGGCCCGGGTCCCCCGCCAGCTCCGCGCGCGGCGGCAGCGGCACGGCCGGGAAGTACATGGAGTAGTCACACTGGGACTCCATGGGGCGGCGAGGACGGCGCGGGCCGGGGGCGAGGTGGGTCGGGGCCGGCGGAGGGCGAGGGGGCCGCTGGGGTGGGGCCGGGGAGTCCCGACACCCGACGGGTGCTGCGTGCGGCCGGGTCGGCCCGGAAGACCGGCCGCGGCCGGGAACCGGGCAACGGACCCGGCACCGAGACCCCGCAGGGCCGGAACCGGGCTATTGGGCCGATTGACTGGCGAGAAACCGGAAGCGGAAAGGAAGGGGCGTGGCCTCCGAGGCCCCGGAATTTGTGGGTAATCGGACTGCTGGGGAGAGAGGCGGGGTCCGGCTGGGGTTGGGCTGCAATAAGAAGGCTTTAGGGGAGACTAGACAGGTTTTTTAGAGAAAAAATATTAAAAGAACCCCCTGCAACTCCGCTCCTCCCAGGAAGATGGACCATCCCCTCTCATTTCCACCCTAATAATGCAAGTCAAAGGTTCAAATTATTTATTCATTCACAAACATTTCGCAGTGAAATGAGCATAGTCTGGAACCAAATAATTCATAGCGAAATGGATGCATTATTCATTCAAGTTATTTCTGGCGTACTCCATGATTTGCTCCTCCTGGGGACTTTTGAGAGTGCTCTGGGAACCTGCCAGCGGTTTGGAAGGAGGAAGGGACAAAGTTGGGGGGGAGGGGTACTGCTAGGAGCTGAACGACTGGAATTCCTCCCACACAGGCTGAAGGACTTGGTGTCCACCTCTGGGCAAAGTTTCACTCATCTTCTAGGGCACAAACATGCTTTCAGAGGGAAACAGAAATGGCATCTGGCTGCCCCATACTCATGGTGTGTGCACTTAACAGCTTAGCTGCTTTTAAGCTAAGACTTAGTAGTCTGATGATTAGGGGGAGAGTAGCCTTGAAGTCTTAAGGGGCAGAGAGACTGTTGAGGGAAACTGCTTGGCATCTAGCTTGTCCTTGTACTGTAGCTCAGGGGTAGCCAGGCGCTCACACTCCTCCTGGTCTGGGTGACTCAGTCCACTCCGAAGTACATAACCCAAAACCTTAGCTGACCCAAACTGGAAAGGGCGGAATCGACGGTCAGTGATATATTTGGGGTCTAAAGCCTCACCCCCCACTAGACAATGTTTAGCTAAGGCCTCTCGCCGAGCCCGGAGCTCTGCCACAGCACTCTCCAGCCGGCGCTGGCCGTATTGATTGATCCGTGCCCATAGACTGTGATTGAAGTGAACATAGAGAGCCCAGTCCAGGTGGTTCCAGGCTCGGGCCCTTGCAGTCAGCTGCCTGTCCTCAGCAGTCAGTCCACTACTGCTGATCGCGCTTCTGCCCTGCTCACCTCCAGCCTGGGCATTGTGCATGAAGCCCACCACATCATCTAGACCCCAGCACAGGGCATCTGCCAGTAGAACCAATGACTCATCAAAGTACTCGGCCACCAAGACCAGGTCAAAGACAGAGTCTAGCCAGGCCAGACTCCACTGGATGAAGGATGAAGACCCCAAACCTAGAGAGGCAGTGCTGGATGTCTGGCTGTGACCACCAGCAACTGTGGGAGCAGGATGGAAGAGAGCACTGGGATCCAGGGTGTGGTGGGCTCTCAGGCCAGCACCAGAAGGCAAAACATTCAGCTGTGGGGATTTGGGGTCTCTGGGAGGATGAGGATTCCCTCTCTTGGTCTTCATCTCTGGGGGGAAGGGGAGGCCAAAATCAAACCAGAGCAAGTTGCGTGCATAGTGGTCCCCACGGGCTCCAGGCCGGTAGAAGGCTCGAGGATTTGCCAGGAAGGCAGCCAAGGATGGTGCCTTGCGGAAGGCCGATGAGGTGGATTTATAGTAGGAGAAAGCAGAGCGGGCCAGAGCTGCTGGGTCTCGGACAATGGAAAAGAAGAAGCTGTCAGAAGGCATGACCTGAAGTACCTGTGGAGGAGAGAGAACAGGTATAGAGAATTGGGCCAGGAAGAAACTAAGAATAAGCCCATTGCTGGCTGGTTCCCTAGACTCCTCAAACCACCTTCTTATGGCTCTGCTGGGAACCCCCAGCTTCCTTCACTAACTGACAGATCTTGGGCAAGTTACTTAACATCTCTGAAACTCAATTTGCTCATCTGAAAAAATGGGGATAATCATACCTTCCCAAGTGATTATGGAGTTACACAAGATAAGGTTATGAAGGAACCTGGAACATGGGAAGTTCCTTGGGAACCTTAATTTCCTTTGGATTTTCTGTGTGTCTTTGGTCAGTAAAACCTCTAAATCAAAATTCGTGTTCACTTCTCCAACAAAAACCTATTAAGTGCCTACCCTGGGACTCTTGGTCACAGCTCCAAGAAAGGACCTGGCCTCAGGCCTCTTCCCCAGGTGCCAGTGGGTCACTGGCAGCAAAGAGGGAGGAAAGGGGCCAACCATAATTCTGTCTCAGATATAGGCATCAGGTGAGCAGGCCGGCCCCAGGATGGCCAAACAACAGGGTTTTTCTGGGTCTCCTAGCCACTTAGGCAAGTAAAGGACAGCCCTGGGCCGGCCACTGGGGAACTATGGACACTTGGTAGGGTGCTACCCTGAAATCTGAGACATGTGATTCAACTTCTCAGCAAGAAGAGGTGAGAATGGAGCTGAGCCGCTCCATAGCATGTCTTGCAGGCAGCTACATATCAGAACCGAGCTCCTGGGCTCCCTGAAGGGTTTCTGCCTCTGAATATGACTTGTCACTAAATCTGACACCCCTCACAATGTCCTCCAATCTGCTCTGCTAATGTGGCCATGCCTGCAGAGCAGAGCCTGTGAACTGAGTGTCTCTTTGAAGGCAGAGGAGAACAGTGCAGAGAACAGTCTGTGGCATCAAATGAACCTGGAATAAAATCCCAATTCAGCCATTTACTAGTTGTGTAACTTTAGGCGGGTTATTGAGCTTCTCAGAGCCATCAGTCCTCCGTCTGCAAATCTGGGTTAACGCTTACCTTGAATGTGGAAGTGCATGGTACTCAATGAATGGTGATGACAATGAAACCAGAGAAGTCTGCCTGAAAGCTCACCGTCATCACGTCACTCCTAGCAGTGACCCCTGCTGCCCTTTAGGTCCCACACGTGCTTCTCCACTGCTTTCTAACAGCTCCAGCTTCACGGGAGCACCTGGGGGTTCTGCTACCTACACACATTCCCCCTGTTACAAACGCACCACCACCACTACCACCACATCTTTGCTGATGTTCTGCTCCCTCAAAAATACCTGATATTCTTACTACAAAGTTGTGTCAACTTAAAACCCACTTCTACAGAAAGCTCCACTTTTTTCCTGAATCTTCTCCCCACAGTTCCTAATACAAACACACATATGCACGCACACATGCCAGGGAAGGCACTTTGACGTTGGAGCAGATGGGCCTGAGTTCAGATCCTAGCTCTGCTGCTTTCTATGAAGAAGGCCAGTCCCTTAGCCTCTCTAAAACTTGCCCTCCTCATCTGTGTCATGGGACACTTATGAAGCCTTTCTGGCAAGGTGATAGTGAGATGAGAACCCAGCACTCAGTAAGTATTCCATAAAAGTTCCTTCCCTGGATGTTTTCATTTGCACATTGATTTTGTGTGTCTGAGAGCCCTCAGGTTCCCATGTGTGTATGGGTGAGATCATGAGTGCATGCACACATCTTCCCTTTAGAACTGGGAGGAGGGGGTCAGGACCAGGCTAGCACTTGGCACAGAGTTGATTCTCAATATCTGGCAGAGGAAGATAGTCAGAAGGCAGTGGCTGAGCAGGGGCCCTGGTCGTGTTAATAGAAGGGGCTGAGAAGAGCAAGAAGCCCCTGGAGGGAGAATCTAGGGGGTCAGCGTTGTCAGGGCACTGATACCAGTGGGGTAAACTGGCCAAGGAAAGAGACCAGGAAGCTCCAGATGTGAGAAGGCAGGACTCTGGCTACAAGAAACTACCAGGCAAGAGGCAGCTGAGGAGAGGGGAATAGGAATCACTGTGACCCCTGTGCCCAACTTTTGGGTGAGGACCAACTTTTGCCTGGGGATTCCCAGGCCTGTGGCCTCCTCCCGTGGTGGTCTTGGCCACAGGCCTGAGACCATCTCTCTCCAGTCCCACCCACCCCCTCCTATGCCCCTCACCTCTTTCAGGTTGAACCTCATGTGATGACAGAGGATGTGGAAGGGGGGCTTGGTGTCTCCACCCTGAGGGCGGTAGCCTTTGACCCAAGAGGCCTGGAAAAGCCTTGGGTAGCCGAACTGGTAGCGGGCAGGGAGGGCAAAGCGCAGCCCATTTCGGTCCCCGTAGCGATGAAGCAGGTTCAGCACAGAGCTGCTCCCAGATTTATGCGTCTTCAGGAACACAAGCCGCTGCCGGGGTGGGCAGGATGAAACAGCTGATCCCAGGGATGGGGCCAAGGGCTGTCGGAGTTGCAGGCCTGGTAGCCTGGGGAGAGATGGGAGGGGAATTTTCCTGTCCCTCACCAGCAGGTGAGTGGGTGTCTTGTGGAGCAAGGACAGAGAACATGGAACTTCCTCTTAGTCCCCAAGAGTCACAGCCCTAGGTGGCACAGGGAGGAGGAAATGGGAGGCATCTATCAGGCATTGGGACAAGATGGGAACTCACCTCTTCTGGCCCCCCCAGAGCTGGAGGGCAAATCCGATGGTCATGAAGACTCCCAGAGCCACCCCCAGGCTCCGAGGCCCCCAGAGGCGCATGGTCCTGGTAGGAGACAGAGGGCCCATGTGGCAGGTAAGGGTGATGCTATCGAGGGGCAGGGCAAGGGCCAGGCACAGAGGCAGAGACAGCTTGAGACAGCCGTGCAGCCGTGGAAGGCGCTGGTTGGAGATCGGGGGGTCATTCCCCAGGTCTGCTCGCAGCCCTGGTTGAGTCTGCCCCCTGAGTTAGCAGATTTTTGCCTCTGTCAGCGTCTAGAAGGGAAATGAGGGGGGAAGGATAAGGAGAGGGTACAGCCTTCTCTCCTGCTGTTGCAGCTCATTCCAGGAGTGGGAGCCTGCGGGGAGGGGCTTGTGCTCTCTATGCTCAGATCTTCCAGGTGGCCCACAACTACTCCTCTGCCATCAGTCTCCAGTTTCCCCAGCCCCTCGACCTGCAGTTTCTACCTGAGCCTCAGGGATTCAGAGGGGAGGGGAGAAAGGCAAAGATCCTGTGAGAAAGACCAATCCGCTCATGTGACAGTGAAGTAGACATCAGCCCGGCGCCTGGCGTCCTCGTGAGTTCCTCTGTCTGTGACAGATGGGGATGAAGAGCCCTATTCTGAGGCCAAGAAGGCAGCCATAAGGAGGTAATGAAGGTCAGATAGGGCACAGGGTACTGAACCCAGGGAAGTCAAACTATAGAAACAACTTTGTCATGAGTAGGAGTTAAAACTCGGGCATTTCTTTTCCCTTCTGAAACGGTCTCAGCATAGGGCAGACCGCAGTGTGTGAAAAGCTGGGGGAGACAGGTTACTTATGAAGCTCAGATCCCCAGACTCCACCCCCTATACCCCCGTGCCTGCTTTCCAATCCCTTCTGCATCCAGAGGAGATGGAGAGGGGGGAGCTGGAAAGAGAGAAAAAAACTCTGCGACATAAGGATATTGAAAGATACGAACTTCAAGCTTCTGAGTTCCTCCCAGGCCCCAGCTTCCTAATCAACTGGGAGTCTGGACCCACCCCATCAGATTACAGCCACAACAAAAGGTCATAGCCCTTCCTGACAGCCCCTTTCTGGGACAAGCTAGAAGTGACCCCAGATAAGAAGAACCCACACTTGCTACCCAGAGACCCACCCCTTCTGGCATCACCCCCCAATTCCCTCCCCCAACACAGCCCCTAGGATCCAGCCCCTCACCGGACTCCCTCCAGTGTCCAGATTTCTTCTATTCCTTCTATCCATCTCCGTTTCCTCCCATTACCCGCTTTCCAGCCCTCTGTCCCCTCCAGCTTTGGTGACTGCTCAGTTAGTTGCCAGCCCTTTGTTGGCCCCCTCCGAGGTTCTCTCTCTGAACCCCCCAAGTCTCCCTATATAAATTTGAGAGTCCCTCTACTGGCCACAGCCTCGGCTTCACTTGCCCACTCACCAGGCCACCTGAAGAGCAGCAGGGAAATCGGGGTCTGGCCCTCCCGCCTGCCCCAGCCACCGCCCGGCTCCGAGCTGTGCTCAACTTTCCCCATAAACTTGCTCCGCGCCCAGGCTCCTCCCCCTCCCTCCCTTTGTCCCGCCAGTCCCTGCAGCTGCTCAGTCTTTAATCGCGTCTCTGGCTCTCTCCCTCCCGGCATCTTTCCTTCTCCATCAGGGCACCCAGCCCGCCCTTGGAAGAAAGCACTTCTACCCTCCTTTCACACTTAGTAATCAGTTATACCTTTTCTCTTCACTTTCTTCAGAACAAAAGACTCATTCAGGCAACAGAAAGAAAGAAAGAAAAGTAACAGACGAGTTGAAAGCAGACATTAATTGTCAAGGACATGACAAGGTAGCCCCAGCCTGACACACAGAGAACAGGGGCCCCCACCCTGAAGGCAGGGGGCAGTCATGTGGTAATATTAATGATGCCTCAGGTTCAGAAAGAATTTTGCCAGTCCCTACAAGTCTCCCCATTTTACAGATGAAGGGGCTCAGACCCAGAAGGTAGACAACTTGCCCAAAGTGAATGACAAGGGGAAGGTTCCAAGAGAGGCCAGAAGCCTCTGCCAGGAGGTTGGGCTCAGGGAGGGATGTTAAAAGTACAGAGTCAAACACAGGGTCCAATAAATTAGCTGTTTATTTGCAGAATAGTCACTGAATCAAACACTGAAACATGAAATGGGAAAGCTTATGAAGGATGTGGATGGCAAAGGTCATGAGAACAGCCCTTTTTAAAAAAATTTTTTTGGCATTGTAGTTTAAGAAATTGATAACTGAGAAAATTCCATAGAAACCAGCCCCACAGATTCTGACATCCTATTCACACACCCCAGTCCCCTGCCCTGCACCCCACCAGCACCCAGCTTGGTCCCTTTGAGACCGAGTGCCCCACCCCTCCCCACTTCCAACTTCCTTCAACACCCCCCCCCTCCCCACCCCCAACTGCAACCCTAAAACTTTTCCCTTTTTCCTTGTTGGGACTGACAACCTGCCCAACATAGAGGTATGCTTGGAAAGCACACATCTCCTTACTAAATAAATACCCCCGGCCCCTCCTTCCCAGATTGTAAATGAAAAAATAAATATTATGAACACCCACCCACCCCCAACCCACCAATGGTAATCTCCTGGATTTGGGGCCCCAGCCATTCACCCAAAAAGTCCCTTACTTTACCTCTCTGCATCCCCCTTCGACTCCTTCCCAGACCCAGCTGAGGGGGAGGAGGGGAAGGGCCATGAACCCTTCTCATGCTGGGGGCACCCCTCCCCTGTTATCTTGGTCCAAGCAGGGCCAGGGCTGAGAGAAAGAGAATGAGGATGGGTTGGGTGTGAAAACCAACAGATGTCCCCCCAGTCCTGCTCCTGCCCTGGTTGTGGCGGACAAGGACACCTCCTCCTTTGCCCCCAGAAGCGTCCCTTCGAGGAGGGCGAGGCAGCCGGGCTGGGGGGGCCACAGCTGCTGCCCCAGCCATCCAGTCATCTGCATAGTGCTGTCCCTCTCCAGAACCGCTGGTGTTCTCCTCCTCCTCATCTGCAGGAGGGAGAGGGTCAGAGGCAGGGTTGGAAAAGAAAAATAATGGGAAACAGAGGAGAGAGAGAGACATGTAAACGGGAAGGAAGAGAATTTGAGATTTAAAAAAGAAAAAAGAGGGGTGCCTGGGTGGCTCAGTCAGTTAAGCATCTGACTTTGGTTCAGGTGATGATCTCGCAGCTTTTGAGTTCGAGCCTCATATTAGGCTCTGTGCTGACAACTCAGAGCCTGGAGCCTGCTTCAGATACTGTGTCTCCCTCTCTCTTTGCCCCTCCCCTGTCACACTCTGTCTCTGTCTCTCTTTCAAAAATAAATAAACAGTAACACACACACACACACACACACACACAGAGGAAAGAGAGACAGGGAAGAGAGATACAAAGATAGATGGAAGTTGGGAGGTGAGAGAAGGTGAGTGACAGGAAGGCAAGGAGAGAGATCAGACAGATGTGGATATGAGAGACAAAAGAGGCAATGCAACAGACACAGAACAGAGAGAGAGATGGAGAGAAGATAAACAGAAAAGACAAAATAAACAAATACAGAAGCAGCAGACAGAAAGATGGGTGTTGGAGGAGAAGATAAAGACAGAGACAGACAAATAGTAGTAGAGAAAAAAAAAAAAGAACGTCTGTCTGTTCCTTGCTTCTCTGACAAACTATACCTCGGGAGTCAGTTCAATGGCCTTCAATGCGGCTTCTCCACCCTCCCCAACAATCCACAGCCTTCTGCTCACTGTAAGAGGCTTCCCGCTATTCTCTAAGAATACTTTGTTGTCTCCCTACCGGACCGTGAACTTAAGGATGGAGATCCTGTCATCTGTCTTCTAACCCCTCACCTTTGCGGTAAGTGTTCACTACACGAGTGTTCAAAGGAGTAAGAGAATGAGCAACTGCATAGAGATTCGGAGGGGCGGGGAAGAGGTTCATAAGGCAATGGGTGGGGCTGGGCAGGAGCTCTGAAAGCCTGGAGCTGCTAGGCTCTCACCCCAGTCCTCCAGTTCCAGGTCGCGTCCCAGGGCAGCCGCCCTCATCCTGGTCGTGGCTAACCGGAGCTGCAGCCGCTGCCTGCGCGTCTGGACGTTGGATTTCAAGGATTCAGGGTCCACCTCTGGGTTTTCGAGCTGCTCCAGGGAGCTGGCGACCACGGGCGAAGAATACCTGCAGGCAGAGCAGCCCCGAAGGCTCCCGCCAGGCCCGCCCCGCCCCGGAGTCACGCCCCACCGCCCGCAGCCGCTGGGTCTCACCGGCCCCGCCCAGCTCCCGTCCAGCAGGGCGCCGCCTCCTGCGAGACGTCTGCCGCCATGCGGGGGTTCGCGCACACTGCCAGGGCCAGCCCGGCCCAGAAGCCCCTCGCCCGGCCTAGCCGATCGCGGAGCTCCCACACCTGAGCGAACAGAGAGAGCGGCTAGGCTGAGCGCACGCCCCCCACCACCCACCCAGCCCGGCCGCCGCCCTCCCTACACCCCCCCCCCCCACTCACCAGGCGGTTTAGGCTGGTGCCCGCGGGCGTCGTGGGCCTCTCCTCCTCCGTCCCCACCGGCCCCACGGCCACCGGGGTCCAGAGGCGGCTCACCTCTTCCCGGGGGGCTGGGGCTCGGCGGGTGCGGGACGGTGCCCGTTGGGGATTCCCACATTCCCGAAACACCTACCACCCAGGGAAGAGACCCCCTCCCAGTCATCCTGCGGTGAAAGCCACACAGTGTCCGCACTCCCAACACCCCCAGTCTGATACCCCACACTGTCCCCCACCCCAAGCCCTCACCTCCACTCATCTCTCGCCTGTATTCTAGCTGACACCCCCACATTGTCTTTCTCCTGTCCTCAGGCTGACACTCCCACCTTTCTCTTGTCCCCTGTACCTGGGCTGACACGGCTGCACCGTTTTCTTGCAGATACACCAAACCCTCTGAGACCTTCACCCCAATGGACTGGGCTGCCAGCTCAAAAGAAAAAGGGCCCTGGAGCTTCTCGGACAGCAATAGGAGACCATCTTGAAGGAGGGGAAGACAGATAAAGGGTGCTATGAGGGACTAGATGTTCCCACAGATCCCGACCTGGGTCTTGGAGGGAAGCAGCAAGGTGTTGGAGAGGGGAAACTTACATGAGAATAGTCTCTACAGTCAATAAGGTTTAACACTCCCTCCCCAGTCCACCCGAAGCATCCAGAACACAAACAGCCCTCCCAGACCCTCCTGAATCCCCTCACCCAGATAGGCCCCCCAGTCAGGATCCAGTCCCTGGCTGCTGATACAGCCATGGGCCACGTTGAGGCAGAAGCCCCGGCAGGGTGGCAGCGAGGGGACACCCCGACAAAGAGGGCAGCCGGTCAGACGCATCACAGCCTGCCTACAGCCTTCGGACAACGGCATCTGAGGGCAGACAGCAGGACTATGTCATTCACAAACACAGTAGCTGCACTTACACAAGTTTGGTGTTGGACAGAGCGAAATCAAATACATACTCCACCCCACCTTCCCTGGGCTCTCGGTGGAGAGCTGAATGTGAATGTCTAGGGTTGCTGACCCCATGTGGCAGCAGATAAGACTTCAAAACTTATGGAAGGTATGGAATTAGAGAGACGGTAGGAAGAGGGATCTGAGAAAAGGTTCAAGAAGAGTGATCTCATTGTGGTTGGGAAGAGAGGAGACTGGGGATGAGGTTAGGGAGAGAATGGGTGGTGAAGAGAGGGTTTTGAAGGCCAAAGCAGGAATCTGGCCTTCAGTAGCAGGGGAAGGAGGAGCCACTGAGGGGTCCTGGGGAAAAGGAGTTGGAGGGAGTGGTGGAGGCCCTACTTCAATCTCAGGCTGCAAATGGAGATGACCACCAGAAGCTGGGAGGGGTGCAGGGGAGGGGGGAGTGATCAGAAAGCAGAAGAGAGTCAGAGAATGGAAGGAGGTCATGGATCACGACACAAGGGAGACTTGACTCTGGCCTCCCTCCCTCCTGATTTACCCTGGATTCCAGAGCCTTGGGGCTGATATAGGAAGGCCCCAGACCTCTCAGCAGGCACTTAACTCTTCATCATAGGGCCTCTCTTACTTCTGCCTCTCCCTCCCTGGACCCTGCCCACACTAGGATCCCCTCTAACCTTAAGTGCTTCGCTGACCACATCTCTTCCGGTCTCCAGGCCCTGGATAAATGCCCGGGCAGCCACCAGGGCCCGGGTTATCTGGGGTAGGGGAAAGAAGGTGAGAGAAACCACAGGGTCAGTCATGGTTCAGGCAAGACTGGGACCAAGAGCACAAGACTGTGCACCAAGGGCACAATTGGTGGGAGGAGGGGGGTGGGATTGTGGAGTTATGTTGGGGTAGTTAGGAGTGTCAGGTGTACAGGGAAGCAGGTTAAAAGGAATTGCAGTCTAGAAGGGTAAAGGGCAACTGGGCTTGGGAAGAAACAGAAAGATTGTGTTCTATAGGGCTTGGAGATAGAGGAATGATGTATGAGAACAAACAATAAACTGGAAGCCAGAAGACCTGGGTATGAGACACAGCTCTACCATTTACTGGTTCTAAGACCTTAACTTATGGGAGGCTTAGTTTTCTTATCCATAAAATAGGGATACTACTTTATACCTCAAAGAGTTATGATAATTAAATGAGATACTACAAATGAAAGTCCATCTCAACTATTAGGTATCTAATTCATGTTTAGTTAAACCAGAGGAAATCAAGATATTAGGATTGAGGAACAGTTGGCAGAAAGGTGACTACGGGCCAAGAGCAGGTGAATGGTCAGGGATTTGTGTGAAACTAGGGCACCAGATGAGAGTGAGGGGGTACCCAGTTAAAGGAGACCAAAGAGCCTTGGATCAGGCAGAAGGGACTGGGGCTCAAGCCAGAGGTCAACAGGTCAGAGATGGCTATCATGCAGGATGGGGAGATCACCAGATCACGGGTGACTGGGGCATTAAGGGGGAGGTCACTGGGCTAGAAGTGAGTGGTGCACAGCTCAGAGGTCACCAGGTCAGAGGTGACTGAAGCTCAGGCCTTGGGGCCTCTCACCTGCAGGCGGAGGCGGCGGGGTGCCTCCCCAAAAGGCTTCAGAGAGTCATCAGGAGAGGAGGCGAGGCGAGTGAGGCAAAACAGGTAGTCGGGGGAGAAGATGTGGTGTGGATGCAGCAGGGGGAACATTTTCTCCAGGAGCTGTGCCCAGAAATCCACCAAAGCGTCCTCTAATCCCTCACCGGACCTCTCATAGTAGTCCCGCAGTCGAGAGAACAGGCCAGTGAATACAGGGGCGTGCTGGGAATACAGGTGGCCATAGGAGCGGTGGAAGAGCAGGGCCAGAGAGTGCTCGGATGATGAGAGCATCTCCCGAAAAACCTCTGTGGCAAATGCGGAGAAAGGGATGTGAGGTGGTGAGGCCAGAAAAGGATGGAAAATTGAAAGGGTGGAGGCAGGAAGCGATGAGGATCAGCAGAGAAGAGAAAAGATAAGTAAGTTAGAGCCTCAGGAGCTCTCAAGAGACCTGGGCAGGCTGGGAAGGGGGTGGGGTGGGGGCGGGGACAGACCCTGGAGGGGAGGCTGAAGAGAGAGGCTAAGCCAGGGTTTGGAAGCCTTGAGGATGAATTAGGGAGTGGAGACATGATATTTTCTGGGGTCATGAGCACAGAAAGGAGGTGTGAGGACAGGTATAGGGAACCCCAATTTCTCACCATCGAATTTTCTGTGCCGGGCAGCCAGTGTGTGAACCAGGAAAGAGCCGTTCTCCTCCACCAGGCCTCTGAAGGTGGCCTCGGTCTCCCAAGTCAGCCTCTGTTCTATCTCACTGGAACAGCAGGTGTACTCCTGGGGACAGATACGAAGGTGCTCACCTAGGCAGAGAAGACATAGAAAAATGGGGTGGGAGAGAGCAGTATCATGAAATTCCTTCCTTCTTCCTCTGTCTGGGGAGTTATCCTTTCTCTCTGTCTAGTCTCTTTTTCTATTGTCTGTCCCTCATGCCCACCTGACACTATCCCCTCCTTATTGTCCCCTTAACCATCCCAAGTCCACTGCTATTAGTCTTGGGATCAAATAGTGATGGGTCAAATTAATGATCAGAGTGTCCTCAGGTGACCCTCTCTAACATCTGACACACCCCATGCCTCTAAGGACTTACAGGGACAGCATCGATGGAAGAATGGGGCTTTGGGGAGTGGGGTTACTAGGTAAGCAAGAAAGTATTATTTTAGAAGGGACTCAGAAATAGCGAGGAGAACAAACTGAGCTATGAAGAAAGAAACACCGGAGGTGGGGTGAGGGGGGGTGCCAATTACTAGAGAGGGATTCCTAGCGTGAGGGTGGAGTAAGAAAGCTATTATGTGGACAGAAGGATAATTGTGACCCTAGTAAGTAAGTTCAGGAGAAGAAACATTGGCATGACAATGGCATGAAAAGATTATTATAACGGTCATTCTGAAAAAGAAGAGTTATTTTGAAGTGGGGAGGAGCCACCTCCGCCCCCTCCCCAGCCCCCAATTCTCTAGCCTTCCTCATTGTCCTCACCTGAGATCACTGCGGGAGGGAGTAGGCTTAAGCTATATCCCCGGGCCCCCAGCACCTGTCGGGTCTCAATGCAACTCCGGGTGACCTTTGCCTCGCTCCCGGGTCCAAGACCAGGACCGGGACACAGAGACAGCAGCAAAAGCAGAAGAGATCGTAGAGCGAACATAGCTGCTGCCGCCCTGGTTCGGCAAAGTGTGTCCTAAGAAGGAAAGAAGAACAGCCCGAACTCGGGAAGCCGATTCTCTGCCGCGGGACCGCTCTGCCGGCCAGAGAAAGAGCGCGATCCCGGAAAACTGAACACCCAGCAAGATAGCTGGACCAAGCGGCAACTGCGGAGACAATGGGAGCTGGGAGTCGGACAGGGGGCGGGGTCCGAGGCGGGGTTCCGCCAATGACGGTAAGGAGCGGGTCTCAGGGGCGGGGCCCAGGGAGAAGTTAAGCCAATGTAGTGGGGAAGCTCGGCGGGGGGGAGGGACTCGGCGGAACTAAGGAGGCGGTGGGGGGCGTGGCCTTTCTTGGGGGGCGTGGCTATCCTATTCGGGGGCGGGGCCTGGGTGGAACTCAGCCTATGGCAGTTGAGAAGCCAGAGTGAAGGGGTTACAACTAGTCTAGTGCGAAGCCCGGCCAATGGAGGGAGAAATTGGGGGCACCGGGGGCGGGACCGGGGTGGAGCAGGGCTAAAGCCAGCGATCAGCGCGCCCGAGCCCACGTGACGGGGCGACACGCCGAAGAGCTCGAAGAGCTCAGGACGCACGAGGCTGCTGGAGCAGCGTGACTGTAACGTGGTGAACACGAGCTCGCACACGCCCAAGCCTCGCGACAATAACCAGTCCTGGGACGGGCCGTTGAGCTCGCGTCTGCGCACAACGTGCCTCGCGCCTTCCCGCGTTTTTCTGGATTCTTCCACTGCCGGAAGAGAAGCAGCCGGCGCCTGTCCTGGTGGCGGGGTGAAGAACACAGAACCCCAAGGGAGCCGAGGCAGTGATCTTTCCTCATCTCTGCTCAGCCAGACGTCTCTATTCCAGGCTCAGACAGTGAGACTCCTCTTTGACCCAAGAATACGCCCTCTCCCCGCACTCCCAGCCCTAAGAGAGGAACTGCCCTCCTCCAAGCCTCAACGGCTTTCTCCACAGAAGTTAGGAACCCCAAACCCCAGGCCCCAAGAGACTGATGGTCACTCCCGTCAGCGATTAGTAAGCTTCTCCGCCCGTTTACCCCAGGGTCGGTCAGAGATACTCTCTGCTGGAAAAGTGGAGAACGCGAGTTTTCCTTTACTCCCTCGGTGTTTCTGCTCCAGTTCCAAATGGCTACTAAATCGTTAAGCGTTTCCCATTCCAGTCTACGTGGAATCAGGTTTTAGCCTGAAAATGAAAGACCAGGTCATTGTTGTTGTACCGCGCGAGCTCGTCTCCTTTGCACCAGGCAATCTATGTTTCTGACGCGTGCACAGAGGGATCTGCTTTAAGCGGCTCTGGTGTGCGCCATGCTTGCTGCCTTGGATTGAACTCCAAACCCGCAGCCTTGATTTCTCTAATCCCCCAATGCCTTAGGTCAAGACTGTCATTTTTTTGTGCGCACCCAACCCCACGCCTGAGTTGCAGAGCAGGAAGGAAGGGGGTGGATGGGCAGAGCTGAGGCTGGAGAAGTGGTGGGCTAGAGGCCCTTTTCTCTCCTTCCGCAGCTGGACCATCATGCCTACGCTGCGGTCCTCTTCCTCCCCGAGCAGTGTGTCCTCCCCACTGCGGAGAGCGTCGGGAGGTGGACAGAGGGGCTTGTCCGCATCTTCTAGTTCGTCTATCAATGTGCCCTGTGGTGACAGAGACTCAGACCAGACTGCAGAGGGGTGAGTGGAGTCGACGAGAACTTGTTGCGTTGCCTGGCCTTCTCCTGCAGTGCAGTTAGCTTTCCGCTCTACCGGTGGCTCTGTGTAAACCTTAAGAGATGCACTCGTTCAGAACAGTGACTCTCTCCTGCTTTGCTAGCTAATTGGGTTTCCCCCCTACATGTTGTAGACATCAAAAGTAATATATCCATTTCTAAATCTATCACCCACTTGTCCAAACTTTTCTTGCATATATTTTTATGTTCAGCATGTACATACAGCCTCTCTTGGGAGTGGGGAGGAGGGGGAGTGAGAAGTAAAGAGTTCTTTATTTGTTCCCTGACAAATAGTATGGTTGGTGTACGATGTTCCTTCATTTGGGGATTTTATAAACAGGTTTGTCTATCCTTATCTATTATTACCAGCTTGTTTTGTGAAGGTTATAATAATGTATCTTTTTTATCTTTCCAGGAATAAAATAACCTCATACAGGATCTGATTTATCTCCTGGTTATTTTTTTAATTGGCTTCCTCTGACTCATTTCTATTAGTGCTACTGTTGGGGAGAAGATTATATCTATGTTATAAACTTAACTCTAATCAATATAATTATGAACTTTTTTCAAGGGATGAAATTTAACTCTAGGCACGTATTAACGTCCAAGTTATATATGAGTAATGTGCAGCTTCCCAGGCCATGCTGATTTTTCGCCACGGCAGTGATTCCTTTGCCTATTTAAGTGAATATCATTTGATTTTCTTATTCAGAGAGAATATTAGGAAAAGGTTGTCCTTCACCCACCTCAGTTTCTCATTTTTCATCTTCACTGTTTCCTTCAACTGAAAGCTTTCCTTTAAGGTTTAGTCTGTACTCCCTGTAACAGTAAACAATCTCTTCTTTTTAAAAAAAAATTTATTTAGAGAAAGTGCACGTGTGTGTAAGCAGAGGAGAGGGAGAGAGAAATTCTTAGCGGGCTCCACACCCAGCATGGAGCCCGATGCAGAGCTCAATTTCATGACTCTGAGCTCATGACTTGAGCCAAAATGAAGAGTCAGTCACTTAACCGACTGAGCTACCCAGATGCCCCCTAAAGGTTTTATTTTTAAGTAGTCTCTACACCCAGCACAGGGCTTGAACCCACAACGTTGAGATCAAGAGCTGCACACCCCACTGACTGAGCCAGCCAGACACCCCAGCACATCTCTTCTTAAGGAAATATGAATATATTTTTCTCCCAGAGAAAGGGCTACAGTTAGAGACAAAGGAATTCTAATTCATTTACTCTCATGTATAAGGACTGGGGTGTTGTATCTAAGGAGAACCACATTCCCTCATAGGGATAGTGATTCTTTGTCAGCTGATGAAGGCAGTGACTTTGAAGGCAGCCAGAGACACAGTGTGAAGAAGAGAGCAGCAAAACGACCACTCAGAACAACGCCAGTGAGTCAATCTGTTTTGTTTTGCTTTTGAACCTGGTCTGGGAAGCAGCAATAGAAAACCTAGAAAAAGCCTCAGATGATATGTTTAATGAAAGGACAAAATTTAAAGAGCATTAAGGGACAGAAGTAAGAAGAGGGCAAATTTTGGAGAGAAGAGAATAAGGGAAGAGGGTAGTTAGGGTATAGAGAATAGGGATGGGCCTAAGGGACTTTTTTTAAAAAGAGGAGAAAATAATAAGGTTAACAATGTTAAGAATCAGTTATCTCAAATCTCAGTAACTCAAACTCAATGCTAGGAAATTGGCAGCTTAAGCCTACTTGTGTGATAATGATGAGACCAAGTGTTAATATCACTTTTACTTTTTAAGGATGTTCCTTATCTCTTTATATTTACTAGGTGGCCAAACATCCAAAGAACGGGTCCCGAATGGTACGTGGTCATGGCCAGAAAGACTCAGAGCCACCAGCCAGTGATCTTTTTGATGCTGTGAAAGCTGCCAAAAGTGACATGCAGGTAAAACAGTGTCTCACCCTCTGTTTCTTGATACCATCTCACTGTAGGATAAAAAAGATAAAGACAAATGTTTACAAAGTTGATTTAATGTGGACATGTTAGGGAATATAACCTATATCAGGAAAGAGAGATAAGACCATGGAGTAAATCCTTGGAATGATGTAAGGGAGACCTTGGATGAGAGAGAATGCTCCTTTCCTAAAAGTTTCACAGAACAAGGTGGATTTTGCTTTTATTGATTGACGGAGGAGGCAGGCAGAAGCATTGAATAATCTAGAGACAAAATGTGGATATGGGTGGCAGCTTGTTCACCCTTGTGACTTCTCAGCTCCACTTTAACAGTTACACCTAATTCTTTTGTCCCTCTCCACATTCTTTTTTCATGATTTTATTGTAATTCTATTATCATCTAAAAGTGTAGAAGGCTCATATATAATTTAAAAATTATGAATGATCACCCAGATCTCTAGTCCCAGCTCAAAAAATGAAACATTAATAGTGCCACATAGATCTTCTCTCCACCTGACCCACACAGTCCCCTCACCACCCACAGATAACCACTAGAGTAAATTTTCTGTCAATCATTCCCTTGCTTTTCATTACACTTTTGTCCCCGTGAATGTGTTTTTTAAAATATAAGCAGTTCTTGATATATATATAGTCTTCTGTGACTTATTTTGATTGTTTGAGATGTAGTCATATTGATGTGTAATATAGGTTTTTATAGTTTCTAGAACAGTTTTAGATTTTCAAATATTTATATTTTTGTTACGGATTTCTAACTTTATCACATTGTAGTCAGAAAATGTAGTCTTTGAAAGTTACAGAGACTAGCTTTATGACAGCGTTTAGTCCATTTCCAAAAGAGTTTCACCTGTGCTCACAGAAGATGTGTATTCTCTAGTTGTTGTGAAGAGTTGTTTTGATCTTTCTACTAGGTTGTAGGGTTTTCTTGTTTTTTGGGCTGGTATATCAATTACAGAGAGATGTATTAAAACCCACAAAAATGTTCTCTTTAATTACTAGTTTTGTATTCATGCCTAGCTTTGACTTAAACATTTTGAGCATTTGTTGTTGTCTAGTAAGTTGAATCTTTTATTGTTATCTACTGTCACTTTTTATATTTTAAGACAAAAAAAATCATTCTGTTTTTTATTAACATAATCTATACTAGCATCTTTTTTACTATTTGTCCTGATACCTTTTTTTTATCCTTTTACATTCAATCTATGTATGGAGTCTGTCTTCCGCCTATAGCATATCACTAGATTATGCCAATCCTCCCTTTAACAAGAGAGTTTGATTCATTTATATTTGTTGGCACCATTGATACATTTGAATTTGTTTCTTCCATTTTATGTGCTTCCACTTTATCTTACCTTTTCTGTTTCTTCTTTACTTCCTTGCTTTTGGATTCTGTCTTCTATAAGGACCTATGCACACTTTAATTCTAATTGCCCCTTCCAATTTACATGCTGTCTTGTAGTGTTTAGTTGTATCTATTTCCTCTTTTCCAACAAATTAGATGTTACTGTTTCATAAAACATTTGCTTGTATTTATCTATGTTTCTATAATTTTATTTATCATTCCTTCTCAAATCTTCTGTATAAATTCATTCTCTTGCTGTTCAAAGTTTATCCTTTAAAATTTCCTTTAGGTAGAGTTTATTATTACTAACTCTTTTTTTTTTTTTTTTTTTTTGTATGAAATGACTTTTCCCCTCATTCTTGAAAGGTTATTTTCTGGTTGTAGAAATCTAAGAGAACATTTTTCTGTTTCAGCACATTAAAAAGATTATTCCACTGCCTTCTAACTTCCCTTATTGCTGGTGAAAGTCAGCTGTCAGTTTAAGTTAGCACTATCCACTACAATAATTTGTAATGATGGAAATGTTGTATATCACCATTTAGTATAGTATTCGTTAGCCACATGTGGCTGTTGAGTACTTGAAATGTGACTGGTGTGACTATGGAACTGGATTTTAATTTTCATTTAATTTAATTTTATTTTATTACTAAAAATTTTTGAAAATATTTATTCATTTTTGAGAGACAGAGAACAAGCAGAGGAGTATCAGAGAGAGAGGGAGACACAGAATACAAAGCAGGCTCCAGGCTCTCAGCTGACAGCACAGAGCTGAATGTAGGGCTTGAACCCACAAACCATGACATCATGACCTGAGCCGAAGTCGGATGTGTAATCGACTAAGCCACCCAGGAGTCCCACCATTTGATTTTAACAGCCACATATGGCTAGGGGCTTGTATATTTGTTCAGATATAATTTGTAAGTGGTTTGTTTTTAAGTGTTACATGCAGATCCATTGTAAGTGATCTCTTTTTGCCCTCTTTTTGAGATTTATTTTGCTTTTGTATTTTCATGTTTTATAGTATGTTTATAGGTGTCAATTTTCTTTTCATCTGTCATGTTTGAAATCTGTTGGCTTCCAGGCTCTGAAGATTGGTGTCTTTCAACAACTATGGAAAATTCTTTTCAAATACTGCCTTTTCATCATTCCATTATCTTCTTCTGAAATCAGTTGATATTAATCAGAACTTCTCACTCTATTCTCTGTCTCTTAATAGCTCTAGCACTATTTCTTTTTTTTTATTTTTTATTTTTATTTTTTTAAAATATTTTTATTTATTTCTAGGAGAGAGAGAGAGACAGCGTGAGCAGGGGAGGGTCAGAGAGAGAGGGAGATACAGACTCTGAAATAGGCTCCAGGCTCTGAGCTGGCAGTCAGCACAGAGCCCGATGCGGGGCTCGAACCCACGAACTGCGAGATCGTGACCTAAGCGAAAGTCGGATGCTTAACCAACTAAGCCACCCAAGCACCCCATCTCTAGCACTATTTCTATTAGTGTGTTCAGGCTGCATTTTGGATGATTTCTTTGATTTAATATTTCATTTCACTCATCTTTTGTTTTTCTGTGTCCGATCTGCTTTTAACCCATTCGTTGAAGGTTTTTTTTTTCCCAGCGCCCGCCCCTGAAGTTTTAAATTTTCTTTTTTTTCATATCTATAGATTTTTGGGGGACTCTTTTTCAAAATTGATTGTCCTTTGCTTCTGGTGTAAAGCTTCCCTTTTATTTCTTTATTTATAGCATAATTTATAATCTCTAATAACTTCAGTGTTTGAAATCTATGAATATAATTCTGCTGTTTTTTCTGCCAATTCTTACTTTCAGTGCCTTGTTTCTTTACTAAATTTCACTGTGAGCTGCTCATTTTCCGTGGAGCTCTATATGTTGGAATTCTTTGGGGCCTGAGTTAAAGGTGTGTTTTTAAGAGAGGGGCCTGCTTGACTGGAGACCCTCCAAAATCACTTTGAATTAAATTCTCTGATTGAGAGTATTCTGATCGTATAGATAATGTGGATCTAGACTGCAAACCTAGACCTGAGAGCTGGCTTACGGTTATGAATTTTCAAGGGAGAGTTCTTTTTTTGTTCCTTCACCCCACGCTAAAGTCCTAACAAGCTAATGTTCATGTTGTCCCTTTCTGATCTGTGGGTTTATTTTTCATTTCTCTTTTCATGCTAACATGACTTTTTGTAGCACCTCACTTTAAAAAAAATTTTTTTAATGTTTTATTTATTTCTGAGAGAGAAAGAGAGAGAGAGAGAGAGAGAGAGAGACAGTGTGAACAGGGGAGGGTCAGAGAGAGAGGGAGACACAGAATCCAAAGCAAGCTTCAGGCTCTGAGCTAGCTGTCAGCACAGAGCCGGATGCGGGGCTCCAACCCACGAAGCGTGAGATTATGACCTGAGCTAAAGTTGGATGCTCAACCAACTGAGTCATCCAGGCGCCCTGCAGCACCTCACTTTATTGCAAGAGCCTCCTTTTGAGCTCTTCTTGGAAAACCCAAAAGCTCAATCTCCTATGCTCCGCATTCCATGCAGCCATCTGGACAGAAAGTCATGGTTGCTGGGGTTTCATAGAACCCTCAGGGCAAGAATCAGCTTGCTTATCTCCCAGGATTGCTACTTCCACTTCATTTTTGGCCAAATGGAATTCTACCTTTCATTCCAGTTCAGCAGTACATTTTAAAAGATGTTTTTAGGGGCGCCCGGGTGGCTTAGTCGGTTGAGCGTCCGACTTTCGCTCAGGTCATGATCTCGCTGTTCGTGGGTTCGAGCCCCGCGTCGGGCTCCTGCCAGCTCAGAGCCTGGAGCCTGTTTCAGAGTCTGTGACTCCCTCTCTCTCTGACCCTCCCCTGCTTATGCTGTCTCTCTCTCTCTCTCCTAGAAATAAATAAAAAACATTAAAAAAAATTTAAAAAAAAGATGTTTTTAATATTTTAATAAGAAGTTTAACTGCTTCAGTTGATATAGTCGTACAGGATTTCCACTCTGTCATTTTGCCAGAAATAGAAGTCATCCACCTTTTTTTCCCTAGTCTTTGGTGGATGAGTGGCTGGAGAGCTACAAGCAAGACCAAGATGCAGGATTCTTGGAGCTCATTAACTTTTTCATCCGATCTTGTGGATGTAAAGGTGAGGAAACTCCTACCCCTTTCTAATCCCTAGCCCTTTGCTTCTTTGTTATGAAACTTTTGCTATATTTACATGAGTAGGACTAGGAATTGCCTAAATAAAGGGAGAAGGTAAAGCATATGAAAAGTTTCACTGATTTGACCACATGTAGTTTGGTAAGTAGGGAAGTGGTCCAATAAGGGAACTGTGTTGGTTTGGAGATAAGACCCTTTGAGGAAAAGTAGCTAATCACACTAATGTGATGCTGATGATATTAACAAATTTGAAAATAGACCATTAGATATGTTTTAGTCTTTCTTTTTCTAGATGAAATCCTCCTTCATGATTCCCTACTTCTCAGATACTTCCTTCCATATTTCTTCACTGAAGCTGTGGGCTTCCCAGATCCCCACAGGTCATGACCTAATTTATTGGGGCAAGATAATCTCAGGTGTGGTATAAGAATCCAGAATTGATGCAGTTTTATTGCTTTCTTTATTTTTTGTTTAGATTTTTAAAATATGTTTATTTTTATTTGAGAAGCAGAGAACAGAGGAGGGGCAGAGAGAGAGGGAGACACAGAATCCAAAGCAGGCTCCAGGCTCTGAGCTGTCAGCATAGAGCCCAACGCGGGGCTTGAACTCACAAACCGTGAGATCATGACCTGAGCTGAAGTCAGTCACTTAACCGACTGAGCCACCCAGTGCCCCTGGATTTTTTTAAAAGTAAGCTCCATACCCAACGTGGGGCTTGAACTCACTGTCTTGAGATTGAGAGTTGCATGTTCTACCTACTGAGCCAACCAGATGCCCCTGTTTTTTTTTTTTTTTAATGTTTATTTATTTATTTTGAGAGAGTGAGAGAGCGTGCTTGCAAGCAGGAGAAAGGGAGAGAGAAATCCCAAGCAGACTTTGTGCTGTCAGCATGGAGATGGATATATATTTTTTAAACCTTTCTTTTCCATTGCTTGCTTCCTTTGGGTTTTCTAGAGAGGTTGATTTACAGCAGATACACAATTTGATGGCAGCAGGTTTAGGATTGGGATTCAGGTCTTCTGATTCCCCATCTATGCTCTTTTCAATGTATCTCTTAGCTCATCTTCAGGTGTATGTGCAAATGGTTATAGAGTCCTGTTATTTTGCTTGTAACTACTTCATCTCCTTCATTCCTCAGGCAGTGTGACCTCCGAGATGTTCAAGAAGATGTCCAACTCAGAGATCATCCGGCACCTAACAGAACAGTTTAATGAGGTGGAGGAAGACAATCAGAATTCTCTTGCCACTCTTATTTCAAAACACAAGGCCCATTATTCCCTTCTTTCTGATTCTGGGAAATAGGATAGCGTTTGGAAGGAAGAGTTCAGTCTCTTGGGGGCAGAAGGGACCTATAGTTATCTGAATAAGCCTCTAAAGTGTAGAATAGCAGAAAATGAGGTATAACAGAAGAAGATTTTTACTGTACTATTGGGTTTTGACATCCAAAGTCCCTATAGTTTCATAGACTTGGTAATACTTTTCTCATTTAGTTCATAAACCCTTCTATAGGATTCAGGAGAGTATCCCCTGACAGCACCGGGTCCATCCTGGAAGAAGTTCCAGGGCAGTTTCTGTGAATTTGTGAAAACATTGGTCTATCAGTGCCAGTATAGCCTCCTCTATGACGGCTTCCCAATGGACAACCTCATCTCTCTGCTCACTGGCCTCTCGGACTCCCAAGTCCGTGCCTTCCGTCACACTAGCACCCTAGCTGGTAAGCACTAATATTTAGTCTATAAACATTCACTTGGGGATTTCCTGTGTTCTCTGGTCCCTGGATTCTTCTTAGCCCTTCAAGCCCAGGCTTCTTTTACCCTGAACTTCAACCAAATTTCTCACTAACGGTACTATAAAAAAGGGTGGATTGCAGTGACAATTTCCAGCCTTAACTTGTTTCTCATAGCTCAACAACTTGGGAACATGCTGAGGATTAAAAGAAGCCCAAAAGAGGCAGTGGGGGGTGGGAAATGTCTACTCCAGAACAGTCTTAGGATTTTAGGGTCACCCTGCTCTAGCTTTTCATTTTGAGTGCCATTCCTTTTTCTTTCTTTCTTTTCTTTCTTTTGGTGGCAGAGGTAGCAACAGCCATGGCGGGTTTCCCCTAACCCCAACTGCCCCCTCCCTGCTTCCTCCTCTTCTTCCCACTGCAACCATAAGATGCTTTTTTTTCTCCTTTCTTTTTTAAATCTATCCTCCCTCCTCTGACCAAAGTAAAAATTCCCTTTTCTTGTTTCTCCTGGTTCAAAGCCATGAAGCTAATGACCTCCCTGGTAAGAGTTGCCCTCCAACTGAGTTTGCACAAAGACAATAATCAGCGGCAGTATGAGGCTGAAAGAAATAAGGTGCCAGGACAGAGAGCACCTGAGCGACTGGAGAGCCTGTTGGAAAAACGCAAAGAGGTAAGAAGTGTTCCCAGCCTCTTCCCTCCGTCTCTCTCAGCTTCATCCACTGCTGCTGAAGCCCATTTTACCCCTGCCCATGAACTTCTCTCTGGTAAGGCACAGGCCCCTAGGCAACCTTTCAGGTCATGAACAGTGGAGTCTGATGGTAGTCTAATAGACCCATCTTGTCAGAGATCATTGCATAATTTCACTTTTGCTTAGTTTCCATTATAAAGAACTCTGAAATTCACTCTAAGTTAGAAATAATTCATTGAGCTCACATTCCAGAAAACAAGTTAAGTATGCCTGTCACGAGACACTGATTTCCCACCACTCTCTCTTAGTATCTCTTAATATCTGAGACTTCCCCCACATGAGATTGGCAGGACTCCCCATGCCTAACCACAACAGTTGACTGTTTTTCTACCCCTCACCAAGATTTCTTCCATGGTAAACCTTCTTCCTTTACTCTCTCTCACGATTTTCAATGTTACTATGATCTTAAACCTATGTGTATTAGGTTTGTCTTGGATCTTATGTATAATACCATGAGTCTTTTTTTTTTCTGCTTGTCTAGGCTCTTGCTTTATTGGTCATTATTTCTCTTTTTGTTTTTAATCCCTCTCTCCCCACTGTTCTCTTCACTTAAAACTGTCTGTAGGCCTTTGAATCTTCCCTTTACTCTTCCTCTCTATGAACTACTCCATTTCTATCCTTCCTTTTTAGTATATTCTTACTTTCTTAATATCCAGCTGAATCAGTTTTTTGCTACCTAGCTTCTATCTCCGTTATTCTTTGAAATTATTCTTTCAAAACCAGTGACTTCTTAATCCCTATAGTCAAGGGTCTTAATCTCTTTTTTCCAAACTTCTATAGAAATTGGTATAGTTGACAACCTTTCCACCTTCTGTCTCTCCCTCTTTTTCTTTTTCTTTTCAATATGAAATTTCCCAAACATTCTGAGAGATAGAGACACTGGTAGAGTGGACATCATATACAAATTATCTAGATTAGCAACTAATATTTCTTCATATTTGTTTCCTCTATTATTTTGTTATTAAAACTTTTTTAATGTTTATTTACTTTTGAGAGAGATACAGAGCATGAGTGGGGAAAGGGCACAGAGAGAGGGAGACACAGACTTTGAAGCAGGCTTCAGGCTCTGAGCTGTCAGCATGGAGCCTGACACAGAGCTTGAACCCATGAACCGCGAGTTCATGACCTGAGCTGAAGTCGGACGCTTAACAGGCTGAGCTACCCAGGTGCCTCAATTTTTTTATTTTACAGTAAATTATAGATTTACTGGTATTTCCACCTAAAGACTTAAATATGTTCTCTAACAATTATTTTAAATCTCATCATCCAAAAAATTATTTCCACATTAACCCAATAACATTTTCACATTCAAAAATACTCATTAATACTTTCTAATTCCAATTCATATTTAAATTTTTCTATATATCCCCAAAACACCTTTTATATCTGATTAATTCCAACCAGGATCTAATTAAGGATTATGATGCATTGCATTTGTTGTATTTCTTAAGTCTCTTTTAACCTCTGCCTCCCCACTTCCCCCCTAGCATATTGATTATTGAAGAGGGAGGGTCAGTTGTTTTAAAGAATGTTCCCTTATAATTCTGCTTCCTTGATATCTGTTATTCATCTAATCCAGGGTTTCTCAACAACGGCACTGTTGACCTGGGGGCTGTCTTGGCATTGCAGTGTTTGACAGCATCCCTGTACTCTATCCACTAGATGGCAGACTCGAGTACCTCCTCCCAGTCGTGACCACCAAAAATGTTTTCAGAAGTTGCTAAATGTCCCTTGAGGGGCCCTAGTTGAGGACCACTGGTCTAATCTCTTCCTTTTCTTCTTTTGCTAGTTTTGCTATTTCTATCAACTTCATTTATTAAAAAATTCATTTTCTCAATTGTTATTAGTAAAAATCTACCTCACTACCAGCTAGTGCCTCTGAATAGCCAAAGGTAGCCAAAATAACCAGACCCAGAGGGGCTATTATTTTTTCCAAACACAAAGAATCCTCTGAGTAAGTGGTTGACTATACAGCTTCTTTCAGAATTAGAAAGTTTAAAAGGAACCTAGGATATCAAGGGTTCAGAGTATGTCCTGTGATTTGAAAAAGAAAGTGGAAGTCATACTTTTCTATAGTTTTGTCGCCTTATACTGTTGGGGCACAAGAAAGATTGACCTTTTCCTCTTGTCCTCCAGCTCCAAGAACATCAAGAGGAGATTGAGGGGATGATGAATGCCCTCTTCAGGGGGGTCTTTGTGCATCGGTACAGGTGAGTGAATGCACTCCTCTTGTTGAAACAGCTGGTCCCTGGTTATGAAATCTGTAAACATAGCAAGGCATCCCTCCATTATAACCCTGGTTATTTGGTTAGTCCTAGTGCAAATGCAGCTGGAGCGAAAACTTTGAGAACAGAAGTTTTAAATTAGTAAGGTTTAGTTCACCCCCAACTCCAGAGGCTCTTGTAAGCTCTTTTGGGAGAGAAAATAAGAGAATAAGGCACTGTTAGGTATTACTCTGCTCCAGCTTGCCTAAGACTTTCCCTTCCCCGTCTTCCTGGAGCTGGAGACCTGAGAAGACCAGAGCAAAGAGCCAAACGGCGCTTTTCTGAGGGTTTGTAACTTGACAAGCCTTTTCCTAGCCCAGCCTGCTGTTTCACTGGGCTAAAGGCAGGGGAGTTTTACACTGTTTAAAAGAACTGGTGGAATTAGGTTAAAAATATCATCCATATATTTTTCTCACTCTTACCTAGATTTCAACCTCTGCCTTCCAGAACTCTTAAGCTGATTTAATATTTTCTTCAAGTGGAAATTTGGCCAACAGTTAAACTGACTTCCAGAATCAGTTTTAAAAGAAGATAAGCTCAATTATTTTATGCAATATTACAGAAAGAAAATATTTTTTAAAATATTTATTTACTTTGAGAGAAAGAGTGAGAGAAAGAGAGGGAGAGAGAAAGAAAGAATCCCAAGCAAGCTCTGTGCCATCAGCACAGAGCCTGACGTGGGGCTCAAACTCAGGAACCATGAGATCATGACCTAAGCCAAAATCAGGAGTCAGATACTCAACCAACCAAGCAAGCCACCCAGGCACCCCTGAAAATGTTTATTTTTTATATATTTACATTGGGAGGAGGAAATTAAAGGCACAGAACATGGTGTTCAGTCAAGAAAGCACATTCTTCTATGGCAGGGAGATATCTGGGAGGATGGAAAGTGAATTTAGAGAGACGGTGATAGAAGTCAGTCTATCTCTGTGTGCCTAGGGATGTCCTTCCTGAGATCCGTGCTATCTGCATTGAAGAGATTGGGTCTTGGATGCAAAGCTACAGCACATCTTTCCTTACTGACAGCTATTTGAAATATATCGGCTGGACCTTGCATGATAAGGTGAGCGTTGAGTCAGCTTCTTTTCCTCCGTTACCTTTCTCCATTACCATCTTCCCTGCCCCAAGACACCACAACTTTTCCTGGTCCTGCTGCTTAGGATCATCACTAGTGATCAGCCCATCAAAGTAGTGAACCTCAAAACTCCCAAGTATTGGAGAGGGTAGGATGAGGTAGAAGAGAGAAAGATGTATCCAGAAGATGAAGCACCTTAAAACCAGAGTAGAGAAAGACTTTCCCTAGGAAAAAGCAAGAAAGCTATTAATGGACTGGTGATACAGGTACTAGGGTGATAGCCAAAAGACCCTTTTCTTTTTTTAACTTTTATTTGTTTTTGAGAGAGAGAGAGACAGTGTGAGCAGGAGAAGGGCAAAGAGAGAGGGAGAGAGAGAGAATCCCAAGCAGGCTCTACAATGCCAGTGAACAGCCCAGTGCAGGTCTCGATCCCATGAACCGTGAGATCACAACCTTAGCTGACCTCAAGAGTTGGACACTCAACCAGCTGAGCCACCCAGGTGCCCCAAAGATCTTTTTCATTATGATTGCTAAATTCTGCTGTGATCCTTTTGATTTTTATATAAGAAGACAGCTGTCTCTTGTCTCTGAGTCATCCCAAAATCCTAAGCATAGAGGACACCAAAGCTAAGGAAGAGTAATCTGAGAGAGGGGTATGGAGGCCCAGTGGGGGTTGAATAAAGGAATAGTTAGTCATATTTCCATCTTCCTCAATAGCATCGAGAAGTCCGTCTGAAGTGCCTCAAGGCTCTAAAAGGGCTGTACGGCAGCCGGGATTTGACTGCCCGCCTGGAGCTCTTTACTAGCCGCTTCAAGGTAAAATTAGGACAGCACTCCTGTGCTCGGCTCTTTCTTGTGGTTCCTGTTTCCCCACCGCATCTTTCCATTCCTGTTGCTCTTATGTGTCTATAGCTATCTTAGCATCTGCCTCTATGCCTTCTCTTTAGGAATCTTTCAAATTCTAAGAGAGATTAATGTTTTGGGATGGATACAATGAAGTACTAAGCAATGTTCTCTTTCTTTATAGGACCGGATGGTTTCCATGGTGATGGACCGAGAGTATGATGTGGCGGTGGAAGCCGTCAAGTTACTAACACTCATCCTTAAGTGAGTCCTGGGGAATAGGGAGGCACACATCTTAGACTTCTACCTTTCCAGCATCAGGCAGGCCCTTTCAGAGTCCTGTCCCTCCATCTGTCATAGGCTGACTCTTCCTTCTGTAACAGGTTGAAAGAGGTCATTCCTAAATTGCAGGATCTCAAGGGGGGACATTTCCTATCTTCTCTAACTTTCCATACTCTTCTGTCTTCCACTCTCCATTCATAAGTTCTTTATCGGCTAATCCTCATTGGTTTTTGTTGTTGTTGTTCCTCTTTTGGATTGTTCCAAATCCTCATTTGCCTCTTTTTGTTTCCAGCCCTAGTTGTCCTAGGGGACATCATTGAGATCCACCTGCCTTTTCTCCTTTTCTCTTGGCAGGAACATGGAGGGGGTGCTGACAGATGCAGACTGTGAGGGCATCTACCCTGTTGTATATGCCTCTAACCGAGCCCTGGCCTCGGCTGCAGGGGAGTTTCTCTACTGGAAGTGAGTAGGGTCCTCTCACTTGTTCCTTTAATGCCTTCCTCTGTTTTCTCTCCTGTATCTGCTGCTGCTCTTCCCAACAACACCCCACATCCCTATTAAGTCTCTTGGTTTTGCTTTCCCCCTCTTAATTCCTTGAGACTTTCCTTGGCTTTGTATCTCTTTCCCTCACACGTCTCCTTGGACTCTTTTTTCTTTCGTGGCAGTTATTCTGCTCCTCATTTGCTCCTGGGCTTGCCCTTTCCCTGTGTTTGTTCTACCAGGCTCTTCTACCCTGAGTGTGAGACTAAAATGGTGGGTGGTAGAGAGCGACGCAGAAGTCCACGTGCCCAGAGGACTTTCTTCCACCTTCTGCTGTCCTTCTTCGTGGAAAGTGAGGTGATGTATGGGAAGGAGCTATTTGGCTGTTGTGCATAAAGACCTGTGGGTAGAAAAGGATGGGAAATGGGGATGCAGGAAGGAGAGACATGGTTTGTCAGTAGCCACTTCCTAGAATTTTCTAATGTGGCTTCAGTAACTTAACATGTACCTTCTTCCACAGCTCCATGACCATGCTGCTTATTTAGTAGACAGCCTGTGGGACTGTGCAGGGTCTCAGCTGAAGGACTGGGAGAGTCTGACAAGCCTGCTACTGGAGAAGGACCAGAGTGCGTGCCATTTGGTAGCTGGAGGAGGGGACATTTCACCCATGAGGCATAGGTGTCCTGGGCGGTGGGGGAGTTGGGGTGACTTGGAGATGGAGGGTGGCTAATTTGTGATTCTGTGTTTTTCATCCTCCTGCCAACTCAGACTTGGACGATACGCAGGAGAGCACGCTGATTGAGATCCTGGTGTCCAGTGCTCGGCAAGCTTCTGAGGGTCACCCACCTGTGGGGCGAATCACTGGGAGGAAGGTATGGCGTGAAGGGCATGTGGGTTGGTTAGCAATAAAAGTCCAGACAGGTATGGTTTAGCCTTATCCTCAAGTCTCAGATTAGGGTGCCCCTTCTCTGTCTCTCAAAGAATTCCATTTCTAGAAAAAGAAATCTGAAGGACGTGCTGAATTATTCTCTTTTCCTTCCTGGGCAGGTGAGATTGTGGGGAGGAGGGATACATATGCACTCCCTCTGGACCCAGTGTTTTTCCATATCTTTCCTTGCACCCCCCCCCAAATGACTAATTCCAGGGCTTAACCCCGAAAGAACGTAAGATCCAAGCTGATGACAAGGTGAAGCTGACAGAGCACCTCATCCCCCTGCTACCCCAGCTTCTGGCCAAGGTAGAGCTGCCCACCATTCAGTACCTGGGAATAAAAGGTGGAGGGAAATGACCCCCAGTGAGGACTGGGAGTAAGACTTAGCATATATTAGATGGTAAGTAGGTCTCCCTCTCAATCCCTACAGTTCTCAGCTGATGCAGAGAAGGTTGCTCCCCTGCTCCAGCTTCTCACCTACTTTGACCTCAACATCTACTGTACCAGGCGCTTGGAGAAGGCGAGTAGAGAGGAAGATAAAGTCTTACACCTTGCTACTTCCTTGCTAGGACTAGAGGCTCTACTGCCAATATCTGGTTCTTCTCAAGAAACTGGGTTCCAAAAAAATGAATAAGCCTTCCTTTCCATAGGCATCTTCTCCTTGAAAGTTAATGCTTCCAATTGTCTTTCTCATCTCACCGAGCCCCACTCCCTTCCAGAACACTTGCCCCCTCTTTTCCTCTCCCACAACACTGTCTTCTCCCACCTCTTTTTCTGTCAGCACCTGGAGCTGTTCTTGCAGCAGCTCCAGGAGGTGGTGGTGAAGCACGCAGAGCCTGCGGTGCTTGAGGCTGGTGCTCATGCCCTCTATCTGCTCTGTAATCCTGAGTTCACGTTCTTCGGCCGGGTAGACTTTGCCCGCAGCCAGCTGGTGGATCTGCTAAGTGACCGCTTCCAGCAGGAACTTGAAGAGCTGCTGCAGGTAGGAACTGGGAAGCCCCAAACTTGGGTCTGAGGGGGCCGCTAGATGGGGAATGTAGATCTGTGTGTTCTTGGGAAAATCCTGTCATAGACCTTCTCTCTCCCTCAGTCATCCTTCTTAGATGAGGATGAGGTGTACAGTCTGGCAGCCACTCTGAAGCGCCTGTCTGCCTTCTACAAGTGAGCAGCCCACCTCCCGTGCCCTCTTCCTGTTTCTCCTGGTGTCTGTGGTGGTGAATCCTCCCATTCTGTTCCTGCGTCATGTTTTTGTCTCTTCCCCAAAGTGCGCATGACCTGACTCGCTGGGAGCTCTATGAGCCATGCTACCGACTCCTCCGGAAGGCTGTGGACACAGGAGAGGTTCCTCACCAGGCAAGTAAATGAATCAGGGATGTGGAGGCAGAGGGGAGTTTTTAAGGGCCCTGTGTTCTAGGTGGCTCACTATCCCAGGCAGTTCTGGTCCCAGGGCTGCAGAGGAGACACGAGAAGAAGAGCATGTGCATGTCTTTTCTTTGACTCCACTTTAGAAGGTGAACTGTACTTTCCAGTGCCTGAAAACAGCCATCCTCTCTGGTTTCCTGGGAGTCAAGGATAATGTTGAGGGATTCTAGGAAACATCAGATAAATGAGGAAGAGGTGGCATTCCTGTCCAAGACAGAATCCTCTGAAGATTGTCCAGAATCAGTCCTTTTCCCCCCAGAGAAGGAATTAGATCTCTGCTAATCTCATTTTCTGTCTTCACTGCTTTGTGTGTGTGTGTTGCCTGTCTGTCTTTCCCTTTCTCCCTTCCTCCCCCCTTCCCTCTCTGCCCCTCACTCCTGACTCATCCATTTTTGTAACATTTGGTTGTTACAGGTGATGCTGCCAGCCTTGACTCTTGTCTATTTTTCCATTCTTTGGACACTAACCCACCTTTCTGGATCAGGTGCTTCCCAGGTGAATATGGGTTTGAGTAGAGAGAGTGGGAATGCAGGAGCCTGGTCTCCATTCCTCCTCAAGCCACTATCTCCACAGAAGCAGCTGTTGAGTTTGAAGGACAGGATGATGGCATTCTGCGAACTCTGCCAGAGCTGCCTCTCAGATGTCGCTTCTGAGATCCAGGAGCAGGTTAGCATTTTGCCAGGTGGGACCAAGGAAGCATGTCACTTCCCGTGGTGTGAGAAAGCCTTGTTCTGAGGAGAAGTTAGCTATGCAGTTTCTGTCTTGTGAGTGTCTTGTCCTTTTTAAGCATTCTTTTTTTTCCCCAACAGGCTTTTGTCTTATTAAGTGATCTGCTTCTCATCTTCAGCCCTCAGATGATTGTAGGGGGTCGTGATTTTCTTAGACCCCTTATCTTTTTTCCTGAAGCCACGCTGCAATCTGAACTAGCCAGCTTCCTCATGGACCATGTTTTCATCCAGCCTGGAGAACTGGGCAGTGGTACGAGGATACCGTACCCAGGGCTCAGGAAGGGTCTGGGGCTTGGGCCTGCCTCAGGCATGTAAGGGCAGGAGGCCTAAATCTGGTTCTGATCTTTCTATTCTGCTTTTGATGTGAGCCAGGTCATTCCCAGGAGGATCCTTTACAGATAGAGCAGCTGCACCAGCGGCGCCGCCTCCTGGCTGGGTTCTGCAAGCTGCTGCTTTACGGGGTGCTGGAGATGGATGCAGCCTCAGATGTTTTCAAACACTACAACAAGGTACAGTGAAGTGTCAGTCTGAGAACAGCTGGGACTTCAGACGTTGGAGCACTGCAGGAAGGAGGGTGGGCGAGATGACAGAACCAGGCTTGAAGGAAAAGTGGGAGGGAAAAGGCAACAGAAGTTTAGAATAAAGGAACAAAGAAGAGTTGGTAGTAAATAATTATGGGAAGAAAAAACTGTTAGGAGGAAATTCATTGGGGGAGAAAGTAATCTTACTCATCCGTCCAGAGTCTTCTCTTTTTGTGAACCCAGCCTCTGTAAACTGGGGTAATAGAAGAAGCAAAAAAAAAAAAAAAAAAAAAAAGAATGGAAGAGGTGTACCTCAGTTTTCTCAACTCACCATTGTATTGATTTCTGTTTACTGTGAGCACTTCTTCCCTGAGAAATGGGCTCTGAGCAGAATTTCTTCCCACATTTATTTGCCTAAACTGATGTCTTTGGGCTTTGACCTATTTATCTAGTCCAAGTTGTTTTATACTTAGATTCATGTTTCCTGACTTAAAGCACTTTAGGAAGGAGACATGATGAGGGATGTAAAGGAAGAAACAACAGAACCAGTCTTGCCCTATGGTCAAATGATATCTTCTCCATTTCCTGTCCCTCAGTTCTACAGTGACTATGGTGACATTATCAAGGAAACGTTAACTAGAGCAAGGCAGATTGACCGAAGTCATTGTTCCCGAATCCTGTTGCTGAGCCTCAAGCAGGTACTCCCTTCTGCCTGGAGTACCTCCGACCTGTGATATGCCCTCCCTGTAGCCCACAAACTCTCTGCTCACCCTCAGCCATTTAGAATGTGAGATTCTTAAGGAACTTTCTAGTTTATTTTGGCTCTTAACTTTACTTGACAGTCTTCTTCATAACCAGTAGGTCTGTAGAAAGTATTAACCGTTGGGCAGTTTCTACCCCAACTCCATAGAAATTCAACTATCAGGACACAGAAGCACCAACAATAAAGTGATAGGAAATTCCTAATTTTTTTCTGTTCTGTTCTCTGTCAGTCTCTTCAGTTACTAGAGACATTTTTATTGTTACAGAGCAGGGGTGAAGGCTCTCCCTGCAGGGGGTCAGGAATAGGAGCAGTGTCCTGGGAAGAAAGAAAGTAAAAGTAGCAGATGGCATCCCAAGTCCTTTAGAATTTCTGCGCAGAGAAAGGAATACTGTACTTCTCTATTTTCACTTTGTTCCTCCCTTTCCCAAATGTACCATGTCTCCTGGACACAGTTGTACACAGAACTGCTGCAGGAACAGGGGCCCCAGGGCCTGAATGAGCTTCCAGCCTTCAGTGAGATGAGGGACCTGGCCCGAAGGTTTGCCTTGAGCTTTGGGCCCCAGCAGCTACAGAACCGTGACCTTGTGGTCATGCTACACAAGTAAGAAAGTACTGGTTAGAAGTCAAGGTACTTGATCTAAGAGAGATTATCCACAGGCTGTGTGCAGGGAGAGTGGGAGTGTGGTCTTGGAGGGAGGGATAAGCATGTGGAGAAGTAGCAATCAGGTTGGCTGGTGGGTATTCTCTGGGAGATAAACTGGGAACAGGGGAAGTATGAACCTGGACAGGATGCTTCCCCAGGAGGAAAATGAGGAGGGACCATCTTTCTAAAATAATTCTTTTCAACCAAGGGAAGGCATCAAATTCTCCTTGTCTGAGTCTCCTCCAGCTGGCTCCTCCGGTCAGCCCCCAAACCTAGCATTCCTGGAGCTCCTTGCCGAGTTTTCCCCCCGACTCTTCCATCAGGACAAGCAGCTGCTGTAAGTTAGTGGGTAATGGATGAAGATGAGAATTAGGGAAGCAGGGAGTGGTGAGGGCCCAGCAGGCAAATCAGCCTTTTCATCTCACCCCTTCCTTAGACTGTCCTACCTGGAAAAGTGTCTGCAGCATGTCTCCCAGGCACCTGAGTGTTCTTGGGGTCCAGTCACCACCTACTGCCACTCCCTCAGCCCTGTAGAGAACACAGCGGAGGCCAACCCTCAGGGCTATCCCCGCTCTAAGAAGAGGCGCACTGAAGGTAAAGTGCTGTCTGTGTGGATATCAGGGTAGTATTACTTCCTCCATAGCCAGTACCTAGATGTAGGGTCTTTTGCCTCCTTCACACTTTTATCTTTAGTCAAATAAAAAATATTTCACTGAGCATCCACTATAATTAAGGGGTACTCATTTTCTTCAAGGTTTATCTAGCCAGCTAACAATAGCAAACCTCTGAAAAATCAAGTAGCAACTGATGGTAAAACCAAAGATGAAAATAAGAAATCTGTATGTTTAGTAGCAACTGATGGTAAAAACAAAGGTGAAAATAAGAAATCTGTATGGTTAGGGGGGCCATCCTTGCATCTAGTATTCTATTATTTTCCAAATTTTAAAGATTTTTACACAACTTTTATGATTTTTTTACCCTCATATCATTACCTGTCTTCAAATACTTTTTCTTTAATTTTCTTTTTTTTTAATGCTTATTATTTTTGTGAGAGTGCACACACACACAAACACACGCTCAAGAGCAGGAGGGGCAGAGAGAGAGGCCCATTGTCAGTCGAGAGCTCAATGCAGGGCTTGAACTCACAAACCTTGAGGTCATGACCTGAGCCGAAGTCCGTTGCTTAGCCGACTGGGCCACCTAGTCACCCCTCTTTAATTTTCTTTTTAAATATAGTTTCATCTTCAGTGATAATATCCTAGAAATCACAAGTTTGATGTGTTAACACATATGTGTTTTCTAGTGAACAACTGAAAATCTTAGTTCTTCCCACCCCACCCCCCAGGCAGTATCACTCATCTCCTTCCTGTCTCTGGGTCTGCCTATGTCTGATTCATATAAGTGAAGTCATACCATATGTGGCCTTATGTGACTGCCTTCTTTCACTTAACGTAATGTTTTTAAGGTTCATCCATGTTTTAGCATATATCAGTACCTCATACCTTTTGATGGCCAAATAATATTCTATTGTATGGCTATACCACAGTTTATTCATCCCTGCACTAGTTGATTGCCATCTGAGTCTTTTTTTAAATTGTAGTTGACATACATTAGTTTCGGAGGTGCAACGTAGTGATTCTATAAGTCTGTATATAACTTTATAGGTTATGCTGTGCTCCCCCTAAGTACAGCTATCATCTGTCACCATACTACTGACTGTGTTCCCTGTGCTTTGCCTTTCATCCATGACTTACTCATTTCATAACTGGAAAGCCTATGCCTCACTTCCCTTCATCCATTTTGCCCATCCTCCTACCCTTCTGCCAGCCACCAGTTCTCTGCATTTGTGGGTCTGTTTCCATTTTTTTAGTTCACTTGTTTTGTTTTTTAGATTTCACATATAAGTGAAATTGTATTTGTCTGTCTGATATTTTTTAGCATGATACTGTCTAGGCCCATCCATTGTCCACGAATGGCAAGGTCTCTTTAATGAGGGCTGAGTGATATTTCAATATAAAGTATGACTACTTTATATTCTTTATCCATTCCTTTATTCATTATCCATTGTGTGTCCTTTGAAACACAAAAGTTCCTAATTTTGATGAAATTCAGATTATTTGGGTTTTTTGTTGTTTGTGCTTTGGTGTCATAGCTTGAGAAATCATTGCTTAATCCAAGATCATGAAGATTTTTTAGAAGATGGTTTTCTTCTAAAAGTTTTCTAGTCTTAGTTCTTTCTGTCATCCATTTGAGTTAATTTTTGTACACAGTGTGAGGTAGAATATAACTTTTTAAAATGTCTTTAGGTATACTACTTAAAAGTTTTTTTTTAATGTTTATTTCTGAGAGAGAGATAGAGACAGAATGAGCAGGGGAGGATCAGAGAGAGGGGGAGACACAGAATCCGAAGACAGTCTCCAGGCTCTGAGCTAGCTGTCAGCACAGAGCCCAACGAGGGGCTCGAACCCACGAACTGTGAGATTATGACCTGAGCTGAAGTCGGATGCTTAACCGACTGAGCCACCCAGGCGCCCTTAAAGTATTTTTTATATACCTCTAGGAAACTGTGTTTTAATCAGTTAACTAATAAATATCTGTTAAAGACCTATTATGTGCAGGACACTGTGCTTGGTGTTTTAGAGGCTGTGAAGGATCCTCAAGCAGCTTACTGTTTAATAGGAGACAGAGAAAATACATTTATAGAAAGTCTAAATTATGAACCATCACCAATAAATGATAACTTCTTGAGGATTTTAAGAATTGACAGAGTGAGAGGCATCTGGGTGGTCCAACTCTTGGTTTCAGGTCAGGTCATGGTCTCACAGTTCATGAGATCAAGCCCTGCATTGGGCTCCGCCCTGGCAGAGTGGAGCCTACTTGGGATTTCCTCTCTCTCTCTCTCTCTCTCTCTCTCCCCCCCCAACTCCCCTCCTCAGCTCACTCTTGCTCCCTCTCTCTCTCAAAATAAGTAAACATTAAAAAATTAAAAAGAATCAACAGATTAAATGCTTTAGAATTCCCGGAAGGAAGGTATCACTTTGAGTTTAGCTGATCTAAAGCCTATGAAGGCTTCATCAGGAAGATGGAGTTTAAGCTGGAGCTTGAAAACTGAACAAGATTGATGTAAGCTAAACAGAGGAAGAATGAGTATCATAAGCTACCAGAGTAGCACAAACAAAACATCGGAAGATATGTATTAGCTGAGTATGCAGATGTTTAGGTTGGTTTGCCTAAAACAGAGGGTTTGTAAAGGTAGGAGAAAATTGAAAAGACTGGTCCCATTGTCCATTCAGCAGATATTTACTGAGCACTGTGTTCTGGGAATATAGCAGTGAACAAAAAACAAATCTGTCTTCTTTAGAGTGTGTGTGTGTGCTATGGTGGAAAAGCAGGGAAGAGGGCAGGGAAGCCCTGGTGAGGTGAGAGTTGCAGTCTCCTCTCTTACTGCTGGGGGAAGGCTGGCAGAGCTAGTGAGTGATGGGCCAGAACCAGGAAGGGGTGCACAGTGTAGGAGGAAGAGCATACCAGAAGGGGTGCCAATGCACAGGGCCATGATGGGGTGTGCCTGTCATATTCTGGGAACAGCCAAGAAGGCCAGATGGCCGAATGGAGAGTATGTAGGCTGTAAGACCAAAGGAGCCCAGGGCATGAGAGGCAGAGTAAAGAGTCTGGCTTTTACTCAACAGTGAAATTGGAAAACATTAAAATCCCTGGCATTTGAGCCAGGGAGTGACAGGATCTGCCTTGTTTTTAAAGGATCCCTCTGGCTGCTGTGTTGAGAATTGACTGTAGAGGGGCAAGGGTAGAAGCAAAGGAACCAGAAAGGAGGCTGTTGAGTGGTAGATTGGGGGGAGGGGCAGAGGTGGTGAGAAGTGGACAGATCCTGAATATATTTCTAAGGTATCATTGATAGGATTTTCTGACAAACTGGATGTGGGCTGTAAGATGGGATTGGAGTCTGGAGTTCAGGGGAGAGCCAAAAGCCTGAGATACATTTGGAAGTTGGTATTTGAAAATGTGAACTTCCGAGGCTAAGGAAGCCAGTGAAGATGGAGGGCAAGAGAGGCCGAAGAGCTGAGCCCTTGAGCATCACACCTGAACAGGCTGAGGAGATGAGGAGGGGCCCATCTGGTCCTCCCTGAGAGCACAAAGTCACGTGTGTGGCTCTCCCTCGCTTTCTCTAGGTCTCTGCTTAGACCAGTAGCAGCTCACTTTCCAGTTCTGGTTTCAACACACAAACATGGCTAAGGGGCTTGTGAACATTTACAGCTGACAGGTATTAATATCTGTTTGAAAGTACTGTCACCTGGGTTTTCTGAGATAACCTTGGGTCCTTTCTTGTCCTCTACTTTCTCAGGTCTCTGCAGAAGAGACTTCAACATTGTGAGCCCCAGGACTTCACTTCCCCCTTCATGTCAGAAGCACACTGACACTGCAGCCACCTTCTGTTTTTCTGGCCTTTAGAAATCCAGTCTCCCATTTGTCTCTTCTGGCCAGCCCTCCTGCTTCCACACTAGCAGCTTCAGGTCTCTTAAAATTGCCATTTTATGTTTTTTTTTTTCCCTCATACAAATGCTGAGGGCTACCTTGAGTGACTCCATTGGCTTAGTGTCTGACTCTTGATCTCGGCTCAGGTCTTGATCTCATGGGTGTGAGTTCAGGACCCACACTGGGCTCCATGCTTAGTGTACCTACAATGAATGAAGTGATTGAATGAATGAAGTGATTGAATAAGTGAATAAATAAATAAATAAATCTTGAATGAACAGGACCTCACACATCTTCATTGATTGAGACTGGCAATCTTAAGAAATCTTCTCTCTTACATTTGTATTCATTTACTGTTTATCTGTTATATACATATAATAAAATAGAAAAACACAGCTCAGATAATAAAATAGAAAAACATGTCTTTTTTATGACAAATTTTTTTCCTATTTTATTACCTGAGCTTTGTTGTTTTCCTTGAACAAGTCCTAGATACCATTGTGTAAGCCTTACTTTTTAGTATGTAGGGTTATGCTTAGTTTTTAGTCATAACTTGATGAGGCCATATAGGTTTTCTGTTCTCTTCTTAACTTTCCTGAACCAAACCCTGGGCAGGTCTTGAAATGGTCTGTGGCAGTACCTGGTCTGCAGTGCATATGTGCCTTCTGTTTCCTTATAGGCCCTTCCAGGCGGCAGAGAGAGGAAGTCTCTTTATCCCAGGAGGAAAGCCTCCAGCTGAACAGCATTCCACCCACACCCACCCTCACCTCTACAGCCGTCAAGAAGAGGCAGCCCCTGGGGGTGTTGGAAGAGATGGAAGAAGGCAGCCCAGAACCAGAGCTTATCCAAAGGTGAGGGCTGAGGAGAGCATCTGGGTGTCTGATCTTGGTGTTTGCCATATCCCTCTGCCGTCTCTGTTCTCTTGTTCTGCCCTGTGGCACTCCGTCTTCATTCTTGGGTTCTTCTCCAGGCCTTTACCATTTTCTTAGCTTTAGATTTTCTTTCTCCCTACAAGCTTTTCTCCCTCATAACATTGCCAACCTTATGCTTTTTACAATTTATTTTATCCCCATCACTGACCCTGCTTTATTCCCAACAGCCAGCCCCTTTCAGGCAACCAGAGGTCAAGATTGTTGAGTCCACAGCATTTCCGGACACTACTCAACCATTCCGGTCCTGGTCTGGGCAACCGGCTGACCCGGTGAGCTACTCCTTGCCTTCCATCCTCACTTCACATTAGGCACCTGCTGTGAGGGATGCTCCCAGTGGTTCTGTGCCCATACATTTTGGGCCTGCTTACATCATAGACCACTTCCTTCCAGGGGTATGTGTGCTCTTAGCTCATAAAAGTGATAGAAGTCAGCTGCTCTGTTTGAAGCAGCAGTGGGAGACTGGAGCCCACTCCACATCTGCCCGTGTCACTTTACCGGATGCCCCCCAGATACTCTCAAGGGTCCTTAAATAGGAGTGCAAAAGCCTCTACTCTTTGCCACTGTCCTCAGACTCAGCCTTATGGAAGAGGATGAAGAAGAGATCCAGAGTGAGTTAAGTGAAGAATGGCAAGATACAGACAAGGTGAGTGGACCCAACACTCCTTTTCCTGCTACAACCAGAGAGCTTTCTAAAAGTCCTCTAAGAATCACAGAGTAAAGGAGGCAGACCTATAAGCTGCTTTGTACTTTGCTTGGACTTTTATTAAGGAGGGGAGGGAAAACAAATTTAAAATACAAAAAAGGGGTTGGCTAACACTCCCCCTCTCAATCCCGAAATAAGTATTTTGCCTCTGAATCTAAGGGTTGAAAGGAGTGCCAGAGCTGGAGAAGGGAGGCGGCTCGCTGCCCCCAGTTCTTCCCTTACTCCCTTTCCTACTTGCCTGCCAGGCCAGTAGGAGCACATGGAAGCTGTGAGGTGATGTGGGTTCCCCCATGCCACCATGCTGTCAAGTTAGCTCCTCTTAACCCCTCAAACTCTTCATCTCTCAAATGGAGATTTTCCTCCAACTACAAAGTGAAGGCACCGTATAAACTGAAAAGGGCTATGTGTCTGCTGCTGATATTCTCCTTCCTTCTCTGCTCTTTGCAGAGGGAGAAAGGGAAGAATGGTGCAAGGGAATGGAGGTTTTCTGCTCAGAAGAAAAACCCCGACAATGACTTCTTCAACAGAGACTAGACAACAAGGCCTCTATTTAACAGAGTCTTTCCTAAAGTCTGCTCAGAAAAAATGTCATTCTCTGATTCCAAACTGAACAAATTTAAGGGAATCAATTGACAGGCCAGGAGAGGAGGCACCTCTCTAATGACTCTGGGGACCTTCTAGGTGTGAACCTTCTGCCCACCGTCCCTTTGCTAGTCTCCCCTCCGTGGCTGCTGCAGGGACCCACCTGGGAAAGGGACCTTGGTTCTTGTTTGCCATGTGACAGGGATAAGAAGGGCCGGTCTGACTGTCACCTGCTTTCTCTAGCACTCTTCCCTCAGTGAGCATGGGCTGGACCTCTTAGATTCTACAGAGCTGAACCTTGAGGTGAGCGTCCCCAAATGTACTGTGGGTGGCAGGTTAAGAGGACTTTGTGTCCTTGGGAGGTCCTGGCAGGTAACCTGTGTGCTATGCAGTAAGTGGAAAGAGAGGCAGTAGGCCCTGGCCTGCCGTCTCTGCTGCTTCTGGAAACTGAGGAGTAGCTGTGGGGGGAGGGTAGGAGGAGAAGTAAACTGTCATGTGGAGGACCTTGCAGTCATCTCTTTTCCCTTTGGGCTGTTCTGTCTCTGTTTTCCTTTCACCTTTCCCATTACAGCATCTCTGACGTGACTCCGTGCCTCTCCCCGTCTCCACTCCCCACCTCAACTTGGAAAAGGCAAACAGGAAGAACAGAACAGAAAGAACCATTACTTCCAGACCCCAGGCCCCACCCTGGTCTCTGAGGGGAAGGAGAGGTGGGCTGTGCCTTTCTAACCTGACTCTTCTCTGATGATGATGGGGTGGAGGAGCCTTAAGCCCCCTGTCCTTCCTACTGCTCCCTGGTTCAGTCCCTCTGTGTTGAGAAGAGTGCCTTTTTCCTGCCACGTTTGGAGAGGGTGGGGGCTTCACCTCAGTATTGGAGAGGGGCACTGCCTCCCTGTGTTGAGTGGAAAGAGCCCAATAGTTTCCTGTATTTTTGGAACGTCTTTCCCAGTCTCTTTAGTATCCTCTTGATTAGCTCAATAAACATGTTTGAATCAGCTGGTTCCCAGAGTGTGGCTTGAGATTGTTAAACTGATGGAAGTCGGGTTCTGTGCTAGTGTCTCAAGTGGCCCTGCCTCGCCTGATGGCCCAGTGTACAGACAGATGCCAGCCCTGCACATGCCCCCAGGTGCCTTTGTACACTGGCTCTCAAGGATGTAGTGCTTAGTAATGGGGAGACGTGGTGGGGCAGAGGAGCTAGGAAGACACCGGCTGCCTTTCAGTGGTTTATGTCATGAGGACAGTTCAAAACCGAGGAGAGAGGGGGCGCCTGGGTGGCTTAGTCGGTTAAGCGTCCGACTTTCGCTTAGGTCATGATCTCGCGGTTCGTGGGTTCGAGCCCCGCGTTGGGCTCTGTGCTGACTGCCAGCTCAGAGCTTGGAGCCTGTTTCAGTCTGACTCCCTCTCTCTCTGACCCTCCCCTGCTCACGCTGTCTCTCTCTCTCTCCTAGAAATAAATAAAACATTAAAAAAATTAAAAAAAAAAACAAAACCGAGGAGAGAGGGCAGAATCCTGATTGCAAGGGGGGTGGCCTATCTCACTACACTGAGAACACGCCACACATTTTGGCAGCTTTCACCCAAGGGTTCTTTGCAGGGGGAGTTTCATGACTTTGTCCCAGAGACACCTGTTATAATTTGAAATTGTGTAGAATCTCAGTATCTGAGTTAGGAAGAAACTTACAAGTTACTCTAAATTTCTAACTCCCAAATCTAAGACTTTGACACTATCTTCTCCTTTATCCTTGCCTTCCCCAGCTAGTTCTTAGGCAGATCCTCTCAAGTCATTCTGCAGAATATCTCTGGTCTGTTTCCCCTCTTATTACCGCCGTCAGCTCTCACTTAGACTGCCTCCGGAGACCTGCCACCTTGAAATACTTTTTTGTTCTTGTTCTGCTGCTTGGAAAAGCACAGCACCTCTGTTCTCTCTTTCCCCCTGACAAGCACCGAAACATGTGAAGACGTCCTTGTCACTTTCTTCTTTGACTAAGTCCACCTCCTCCTCCTTTCCTCTCCAGCACCCTCTCACAGATAGAAGCTGGAAACCATCTCATAGATAGAAGCTAGAAATTGGGTTCAGGAGTCTCTGTTTGGAAAGGCAGCTGCCAGTGCTATGGTAGGACAGCAGACCCATTCAAAGATCTTTAACCTTATTCAGAGGAAACCGCTCCAGGGGGAGGAGCCTTTCCTCTGGGATCTGGGAACAGAGTAGGAAAACCAAGGTGAAGATATGCACATCACGAAGGATCCAGGAGGGGAAAGATTCCTGAGTTAAGTACCAGCCAAGCTGAAGATCTACTTCACAAGATCAAAAGACTTGGCAGCTCTGCAAATGTGGAGACCTTTACACATCCGGATAGTCTGGCGTGGGCAATTGAGCCCCAACCTCAGAATACGTGTGAGTTTTATATCCTCCCCAAATTCTTTGAGACTCTTTATTGAGAGGTTGGGTCTAGGTCCTCTCCCCTGGAATATGAGCTCTGTGATTCCTTGATTAATAGAATATAGTGGAAATGATGCTGTGCCAGTTTCTGAACCCAAAATTAACCTGCAGCTTCCAACCTCCTGTTTCTTGACATGTTCACTCTTGGAACCTAATTACCATGCTGGGAGACAGCCCCCCAAGCAACCACATGGAAAGGTCATGTTTTGAGTGTCCCTCCAGCAGCCCTCGTTGAAGTCCCAGCCTACGTCCAATATGAACCACCAGACGTGCTTTAGATGTAAATCAGACGATTATAATACCCATCTTTTGAGTCTTCCAGCTGAGGCCCCAGGCCTTATCTTTTCTCTACCTTTTCCAAATTCCTGGCCCATAGAATCCATGAACACAATAAAATGTTTACATTAAGTTGGGGATGGTTTGTTACATAGCACTAGTAAATAAAACAGAACCTTAGAGTCCTAGGAATTTAAAAGTTTGAGCACATTTATCAGTTTAAAAATTATATAAACATTTACCATTTATTTATTACACACTTTAGAAATATATAGTGAGTTAATAACATGTTTTGAAATATTTTAACAGTACAAAATAACTTTTTGCTCTAAAAAAGCAAAGTAAATTTTCTTTTTCTTTTTTAGAGAGGGAGTATAAGCTGGGATTGGGGAGGGAGAGGCAGAGAGAGAGAGAGAGGGAGAGAGACAGGGAGGGAGAGAGGGAGACAGAGAGGGAGGGAGAGAGACAGAGAGAGAGAGAGAATCTTAAGCAGGCTCCACGCTTAGCACAGAGCCTGATGCTGGGCTTGATCCCACAACCCTGGGATCATGACCTGAACCAAAATCAAGAGTCAGATGCTCAACTGACTTAGCCACCCAGGCACCCCAAGAAAGAAATTTTAAATCATGGTTTCACATTTTATGAGGTTCTTCTTGAAAATTCAGTTTATTTTTATAATTATCTTTTATGGTCTATGTAACTGAAAGGGGTACCTCTCAAAACCTTGTGAATCCAAATGGAGTAGGTGCTGCTCTGACTGCATTTTACTACTTTTTTAAATAGATGAGCCAATGCCCACTAAAATTTTTCACTGGAGGACTTATAAGCAGGTCAGAAAATGCTTTCCAACTACAATAACAGTGTTCTTAGAGGGGACACACAAAACCATGGCATCTTATAGCATGTAAATTACAGTCCATCATAAGCTATGGGTTTGCCTATCTTACCTTAGGATGCTGATCTTTTTTAAATTTTTTTTTAATGTTTTATTTATTACTGAGAGACAGAGCATGAGCATGGGAGGGGCAGAGAGAGGGGGAAACAGAATCTGAAGCAGCTCCAGGTTCCAAGCTGTCAGCAGAGAGCCCAACATGGGGCTCAATCTCTCAAACAGTGAGATGATGACCTGAGCCGAAGTCGAATGCTTAACTGACTGGGCCACCCAGACGTCCCAGGATGCTGATCTTCTTAAGACATGAACCATGACATTTGGATCCCAGTGAGAGGATATTTCTTTGTATTTTGGGGCGCCTGGCTGGCCCAGTCTAAGCGTCTGACTCTTGATTTCGGCTCAGGTCGTGATTTCGAGGTTTGTGAGATCAAGTCCTGCGTCAGGCTCTGTGCTGACATTGTGGAGCCTACACGGGATCCTCTCTCTCCCTCTCGGCAACCCCCACTTGCATGCACACGCGAGTGTACTGTCTTGCTCTCACTCACAAAATAAACTTTAAATAAAATATTTTAAAATTTTCCTCATTGTATTTTTTTCTTTAAAAAATAAAAAATGTTGGGGCGCCTGGGTGGCTTAGTCGGTTAAGCGTCCAACTTTCACTTAGGTCATGATCTCGCGGTTCGTGGGTTCGAGCCCCGCGTCGGGCTCTGAGCTGACTGCCAGCTCAGAGCCTGGAGCCTGTTTCAGTCTGTGACTCCCTCTATCTCTGACCCTCCCCTGCTCACACTGTCTCTCTCTCTCTCTCTCCTAGAAATAAATAAAACATTAAAAAAAAATTTTTTTTTATAAAAAATAAAAAATGTTAATCTTTTGCATGACAGCAGTGGATATCATGTGTAGCAGCTGAGGTACAAACACTGCACCTTAAAAACCACAGCTTTGAAGGTTGTCATGCCGGTGAGCCCCTTGCCAACAGAAGCAGGGCTGTGGGCTTCAGAGCAACAGCTCCAAGTGGTCAGGCCCCGGCCAGGCCGGAACCAGAACTGAGGCCAGCTTAGGCAGAGGAGAGGTGGAGGCCTCTGCCCAGGCTAACCGTACCTGGGTTGACAAGTGACACCAAACAGTGTTTTCCAGGGGACTGGCACTGGTGTGCGTTGCCTATTAGCTTACTATTGAATAACTGCTTTTGAATTATTTTAAGTAATCTTGATTTAAGGCTCTTTCTTTTTTAACCCTTGTGGCCATGAGCTCTGCAAGAAGTTGTTTGGTGTTCTCTCCTACATTATAAAGTGAAGAGATTTTTTTTTCCAGGTTGCTGAGAAAAGTCTTCAGCTAATGGGAAAGTCACCCTGTGTTCTGAATTCCAGTCACATTGACTGGGACGTTACAGGAAAAAAGCAAGTCTGTGCTTGGAAGGCAGGAGACGATAAAGTGGTGGGTTGGTGGAAGGTTTCTTTTCACACACATTTTGAAGTCTTCCTTGAGCTTTGTAGTTCCTTCCCCGGGGCAGGGTGCAACACAGGATCTAGAAAGTCTCCCTTGAGCACAGAGTCCCTGAGAGCCCGGGGTGTTGAGTTGGGATGGCTGGAGAAAGCACTGAAGAGGGGGGGTCACATAGGAAAAGAGAACCAGCAGGGTGGCCAACCTGCCAGATGAAGTGCAGGACACTAGAGAAACCATCGGGACAGAGGAGCCCAGAATCCCGGGGAAACTTGAAGGAAAATATGTCTAACTTAATTCAGTAGGGGAGAGCAGTAAAGGAATGGATTGGGGTAGCAGCAGCTGAAAAACCCTCTCCTGTCGGCACAGAAGCAGCTCATCTCAGGGCGGGGGCAGCCTAGCCTATGAACTGAGAACAGGCTCTCTGCTGATGGGGCAGAGGACTGCTGGATTTTGACAAAAACCTTGTAATTTAACACTTTTAAATGTGTATGTGAGAGGCAGCTCAGCATGGTTGTTAATAGTGTGGCCTCTGAAGCTAAAATTTTTGTCAAATCCTGGCTTCAGAACCCACATATTAACAACTATGCTGAGCTGCTCTCTCACAGCGAGAGCCTTGCCACCCTGGGCAAGTTCCTTCCTCGTAAGGTCATTGTAACTATGGAGCTAATATGTTTGACTTGCTCAGAACAAATTTAGCACAGAGTATACACTCAGATATTACTCTCATATTTATATTACTTTGATAGGGAAACACAAATGGTCTTCTCACAACATTTAAAATATTTGTAAAATAAAATAAATGGATCAGGTATGAGTCTCAACCTACAAACTCAGGTGGGGAACATCTCATAAAAGGATGGTCACCAACATATGCTGAAGGCTTGAGCTGGGCATGACCAGAGTGCCACATGCCATGCCATCAAACAGAGTATGATCCCTGTTGGGATGTT